GTCCTTTTCGTGCTATCTCATTGCCCTCCATGGCCAGGCACCCAGAGGTTAGGTCTGAGTGCTACTGAGCTTGGTTCAGAACCAGAACTTTCAGTTCCCCGTCAGACCAGAACGGTTTCTCCCATCAGCCCGGGGCACCCTCGTTCACTTCCAGATCACGGACTCTGCCGGACCAGGGACTCTCTTCTCACCATTCTTAGTCCATTGTTCCTTTACTGAGTTCCAGCTCTGTGTCCAGGCCTGTGTGAGGCACTATGGATGCCACATGGGAAAGGCCAGGGTCCTTCCTATAGGTGTGGTCCCCAGCAGGGAAGCTGGTCTCAAGGTCTGGCTTGGGAATGGGCTGGGCCAGGTTCCAGAGGACGGTTCTGGAATGAGAAGCAGGATGGGCTGTCGTCTGGTTTCCCATCTGACCATGACAGTTGTCTGTAGCTCATCTTTATTCTAGTTGGCCAGGGCCTATGCTGAACTGGCTGTTAAATACACATTCTGAGGGCCAGTCACGAGGGACAATCCAGCCTTCCCAGGGATCTCTAATGTCTTTCCGAGCCACGAAGTAGAGCATGGCTCACCTGCTTTTGTTTATCTCCATGACTTAGCAAGAGGAAAGGAACTGGGGTGATGGATCCCCACTTATCTCTTCTTTCTGTCAACTCAGGAGCCTGCCAGTCTTGGGTGAGAGGGCTGAGAAAGGAGGCAGGAGAGGGATAGAGCAAAGTCTTCAAGGTCCTTCCCAGTGCCAGAAGTCCACCACTGCTCAGCCCCAGTTAGAAGCCAATTCTCTGAAGTCATCACCAACCGCTAACACCTCAGTTTTACAGCCATGGGTGCTGGGCCCTGGTGGGGATGGGCCAGGCCAAGCAGAGGAGACCAGAGGGCGTCAAGGCCAGCAGCACAGCAGTCTGCAGGGAGGCTGGGTCACTTACCCAGGGGGTCTGACTGCTGTGTGGGCCCACAGAAATGGATTGCCTTCTGAGCCCCCCGTGTATGGCTCTGTTCATCTCACATGTGTTATTTCATTCATCTCTAATAAAGGATTTGGAAGAGATAAGTACCATTGATTTCATTTATGAGATCTAACTCTTGGGCCCTGGAATTCTTTCTCTGGATCCTGCGAGGGAGACAGCCTGGTGTGGAGCCGTGACTGCAGTGCCATCAGGGCCGGTTTTGCCCCAGGAGGTGTCTGGTACAGAGATTTTTTTTTTTCCTTCTTTTTTCGCCCCCAACTGGAGGGTGCTACTGGCATCTAGTGGACTAAGGTCAGGGATGCTGTTAAACATGCCCATGTCTTAATTTGTTTAGTGTTTCTATGACAAAATACCAGAGACTGTACTTTCTAAAGTAGAGAGGTTTATTTGACTCACAATTCTGGTGGCTGGAGGGTCCAAACAGCATGGTGCCAGCACCCTGGCAGAGGCCCCCTGACCATGTCACAATATGGCAGGGAAAGGAATCAGCTGCATGCAGAAGATGCCAAGGTGTGGGGTAGCCTCACTTTCTTTTTTTTTAAGTTTTTTTTTTTTTTTTTTTAGTTGTTGATGAGCCTTTATCTTACTTATTTATATGTGGTGCTGAGAATCCAACCCAGTGCCTCACACATGCTAGGCAAGCACTCTACCTCTGCGCCACCACCCCAGCCCAGTAGCCTCCCTTTCTAACAAGCCATTCTCTCTAGTACTCAGTCCAGGAGACCAGCATTAATCCCTTCCGAGGCAGTGACTCTGACCTAATTACCTTCCATGAGGCTGCACCCTTAAAGCTTCCCTACCCCTTAACATTGCCACGTTGGAGACCAGGCTTCCAGCATGTGAACCTTTTGGGGACACTGAAACCATATCCAGACCATAGCCACACACCCGACAGTGAATTGTCCAGTCCAAGAGTTAGTAGTGCTGAGGCTGTGAAGCCCTGGTGTGGAGAGAGCCCTGCATTGTCTGCTGGAGAGTCAAAGCTTTTGCCTTTGCCACGGGCCCCACCAGTCCCTTTTGCCCCCTGAGACAAGGATTTAGGAGCAAGTATTTTATTTGTGAGGTGATCCCAGAAACATAATGAGGGTATAGAGAAGTGAAACAGAGTTCAAAAAAACCCAAAAGACCCACATGTGGTGGTGTGTGCCTATATCCCAGCTACTTGGGAGGCTGAGGGGGGAAGATTGCAAAGTAAGTATGAGGCCAACCTTGGCAACTTAGCAAGACCAGTGTGCAAAATAAATAAATAAATAAATAAATTTAAAAAGGCAACAGCTAAGCATTCACATGTAATCCCGGTGACTCAGAAGCTGAGGCAGGAGGATTGCAAGTTTGAGGCCAACCTCAGCAACTTAGTAAGGCCCTAAGCAACTTAATGATACCCTGTCTCCAAATAAGAAACAAGAAGGACTGGGAATGTGGCTCAGTAATAAAGTGCCCCTGGGTTCAATCCGTAGTACCAGGGCAGGGTGGGAGACAATAAAGGATGTGTTGATGAGGGCTGACCACTTCAAGCACCAAGAGTTTATCTTGCTGGGTGCCTTTGAGAGATGACACTTAGAATATACCTCAAGTTGTGTTGCACATTTGGAGCTCTAAGGGACTGCTTTGTTCCTCTCTAGATGCTTAGGGCTAAAACTGCCTGGCACATTATAGGTGCTCAATAAATATATGTTGAATGAATGGCTGTTTCTTCCTCCCTTACATGAACTTTTTCTTCCAACTCCCTCTCAGCACTTCAGTTCAATGAACTTCATCTCTTCTGAGTAGGTGACACCCCTGCTGGTACAGGCCCCCTCAGATGTGTTTTTAAAAATGCCCTCCACCTCCCCCTAACCCCAGCTCAGCTGTGGTAAATACATTCATTGATCATATCCCTGTTAAAGTTTCTCCTGACAGGTGCAGTGGCTCATGCTTGTAATCCCAGCTATTCAGGAAGCTAAAACAGGAGGATCACAAGCTCGAAACCAGCCTCAGCAATTTAGCAAGGCCCTAAGCAACTTAGTGAGACCCTGTCTCAAAAAATAGAAAGAGCTGAGGATGTGGCTAAGTGGTTAAGTGCCCTTGGGGTCAATAACCAGTACCCAAAAATGAAATAAAGTTTCTCTTGCCCAGCTTGCTGGGACTGGGTGAGTCTTGCTTGTTCCTTGGACACTCAAGACAAATTTGTTCAATGAATGAAAAAAATCCACCCTGTCCTACTTAACCTCGGGCACACAACAGCAACTGGAAGACAGGAGTCCACACAGACTGGGATGGGGTGTAGACAGCCATGACTTGAACCATGGTTTCTGACGGCCTCATCACTGCGTTTGTACTGGGAACTTCCTGTACAAAGATGGCCCAGTTGCAGGTTGGGGATTTAGCTCAGTTGATAGAGTGCTTGCCTCTCATGCACAAAGCCCTGGGTTCAATCCCCAGCACCACAAAAAAAAAAAAAAAAGAAAAGAAAAAGAAAAAAAAAGAAAAAAGGATCAGTTGCTATGGTGATGCCTGGGGAAGAGGAGGAGGCTCCTGAAGGGGCAGAGCTGTATCAGTCAGGACCTTGAGCTCAGGCACTAACTCCCAGGCATAGAGAATTTGGGCATAACAAGGTAACATTGATGTCTTGCAAGTTTCACTGTGAACTTCTGTCAGCTTTGCTGAAACTTTCTCACATATAACTTTTTGATGAGAAAACCTACATAATAAACGTGCTGAGCTAGCTCTGGGTCATTCACCCTCCATCAGGGAGTGATGATACACCTGGCCCCAGCTTTTGCTATGTGTGTTTGTCTTTCTTCAATCTCCATTGCCCCTTGCATATTTCTGTCTTAAGGGCTGTGCTGGTCACAGCAATGGTGGTCTCTGAGTTTGGGGTTTCTCAGTCTGGAAATTTCACTAGACACACCAAGCCACAGCTCCCCAACCATGGACCAGTTTTCCTGCTTCCCCTCTAGATCCAGGACCCCTTAATGGGAAGGTTTTTTTTTTTTTTTTTTTTTTTTTTTTTTTTGTACCAGGGGTTGAACCCAGGGGCACTTAACCACTGAGCCACATCACCAACCCCTTTTTATATTTTATTTAGAGACATGGTCTCACTGAGTTGTTTAGGGCCTCACTAAGTAGCTGAGGCTGACTTTGAACTCTCCATTCTCCTGCCTCAGCCTCCCAAGCTACTGGGATTACAGGCGTGCACCACCAGGCCCAATGGGAAGGTCATTTTCTGTCCATTAAACTTGCTGGTTCAGAAAGGCACCAGGGGACCAGGTCTACGAGGAACACTCAGGAGATCCTCATCAGGAAGGCTAATGTGTGCACAGCTGGGGGAGCTGGGCAGTGGTTCTGCCCCTCCTCTGCAAATTACCCTTCCAAACCCAAACCCGCTGGGAAGGCCCTGGTCTGAAGCTGAATAAATACTGGGCACCGGTGGACACCTGGTCCTTATCTCTCAGTTGGGTGCCCTTAAGAATCTCCCTCACCACTCCAAGTATGGCCCTGGGACCAGCAGCACCCCGAGCACTTTAGAGCTTGCTAGAAACGCAAAACCTCATTGTTACAAAATAGACTAAGCTCTGAGCACTCAGACCAAAACAGCAGGATACAGGCGCATGCACAAGTCGAGCGCAGGGAGTGAGCTTAAGTTGGGGCAGAGCTGCACTTCACCGAGACGTGATTCGAGTACACCAAGTTGTCTGCACTTGGCCATAGGCACGGACGTGGGTCCTCCCTGTTTGAGCTGCAACCATGCAGACACGCGAGAACCCAAAACTCTTCCTGGAGCTCTTGGGCACCCTCAGGAGACCTCCGCGCCACGACCGCCTCTAGTGGCCCGGGACAAGAGCCTCTGAGCTCGCCAGAAAGCTCTCTTCCCCCAATCGCCCTTCAGTCCCCTGACACTCCTGGAAGGGTCCTAGGTGAAGTGCCCCGTCCCTCCAAGAGGCCCGACAGACCGGCGCAGGCAATCTTGGCCAGGGCGAGTCCTTGAAGTCTATATTTAGTGCACGTCACCCCTCCCCCTGACGGTGGGGAGGCGGGGGGGAGGGGAGAGCCCCGCCCCCGCCAGGCGTGTGTGTGTCCTGTGTGTTTGGGGCCCGCGCGGGTTGCGCGCCCTCTGCTCCGGAGCCCGCTGCCCCGCGTCCTGACTGCTGCCCTGCATCCCTCGCCTGGCCAGGCGTCGAGAGCCAACATGGGCCAGGAAGAGGAGCTGCTGAGGATCGCCAAAAAGCTGGAGAAGATGGTGGCCAGGAAGAACACGGTGAGGCTGCAGAGTTTGGGCCGCAGCCCCCGCCTCGGGAGGCGCGGCGCGGGCGAGCCAGGGAGCCCAGGGGCGTGTGCGGGCAGCGCGCCCGGCGTGCGAGAATGGGGCACTGGGACCCCAGGGAGGCGGGATGGTGTAGGGCGCAGGGCCCCGAGGGACACTTGCTGGGCACTTCGGGGTGGGCGTGAACACGGCCCAGGGCGCCGGGGGATCGTGCAGGCCCAGGAGGCAGAGGCGCAGCTCGTGCACGTCCCTCTGGACGCGTCGGGTTCACCGTGGACGGTCTGTGCAGAGTCTCCAGGGAAAGCGGGCGTGGAGCCTGGAAAAGACTTTGGGAGTCCCTGCGCTCACGGTGTGTGCAAAGCCCTTGAGTGGCGGGGAAGGCTGGGACTAGAGGAACCAACTTTGGGTGGCCCGAGAAGGATCAAAGAGACGGGCTGAGAAGGGTGCTGAGCAGAGTTTCCTCCGCGCCCCGGAGGGAATCTGCTGGAGTGGAGCGGATCCCGCAAGCCCACAGCCTGGGTGCCAGGAGCGGTTCTGTTTGCAACTTTTTCCTTGGCCGCTGGGTGGGGCCGGGGCGGGCGGGGTGGAACAGGTGCGGGCGGGGGAAGGGGCAGGCGGGAGGCCGGGCTGGGCGGCCCTGGGCCGGGAGGTGCTCGGCGGGAGGGAGATGGGGGATCCGGGCCCACCGCCCTACCTGAGGGCTCCTGGGCTCGCAATCCCAGCAACGCAGAGCGCGGGCCAAGCGGTGAGTTAATGTTTGATCTTCCCGGTGATCTTTGCCTCAGGCAGGAGGCTGCCGTGTCGCTTGGCCAGAGCAAACTTGGCCATAGTACCCAAGGGCATGGGCTCACCCTGTGAGGAAAAGAGAAGGGAGAGGACCCGTGGGTATGTCCTCCACCTTACGCCCTGTCCTAGGGTCCTCTTCTTCCCACCATCCGTAGCCTGAATGCTGCATCAGGACCTGCATTTCCAGTACATTTCTTGACCTTAGAAACTTGGGAAGGAAGGGCCCACAGAAAGGTGACCAAGGCTAGAGGGAGGCGTCACTGGAACCATGAAGTGTCAGGGGGTCCTAGGGTGGACAGTAATGAGATGGCATCCATATAAAGACTAGAGCCTTGGTTTCTTCAGCCATCAGTAGGGAATTCCCTGCCTCAGGATCTCCTGAGTGTTCCTCAGTGTGTGAAGTCCTACTCAGCCTGCTGCCTGGTAAGAGCCAGAGATGGAGACTTGCTTCTCCACAGCCAGTGGACACAGAAAGGTACAGTGGAGTCCTGCAAGGTGCTGGGAGCTTCTCCCCTGACATTCCCAGCCTCCACCTGCTCCCCTGCAGGGCTTCTCTAAATCCTCAGTAAAACAGAGGGGGATGGGTGTGTTCCCAGCTGGGGGTGGCAGGGCCCAGCCAGGTATCCTGAGCTGAATTCTATTTCAGATAGACAGGTTGTCCCAGCACAGCCTCTTGCCAACCCTCACTAGGGCCAGGAAAGAAATTCTGAGCCTCTGGGTAAGGCGTGGGGGTGCAGCACGTTCAGGGGAGCTTAAGGGATCTGAAGAAAGAATTAGGATAAAGACCAGGTCCTGCTCACTCCTTTTATGGCCCAAGGCAAGTCACTCTACTTTCCTTCTTTTGGCCTTTGTTTCCTCCTTTGTGAAATGGGAAGAGGAAACAGTGTCCCTTGGGGATGGGTTCCCTTGGAAGTGTCCAGAGCCCTCCCAGGAAAGCTGCGAGTCTGGCGGTAGGGTCCTTACAGTGCAAAACCAGTCTACAGCCACGTCTGCGCCTGGGCTCTTGGCAGCATCTGGGTGGGCACAGAGCTCTGGGCATCTAGCCGAGAAAGGTGGGGCCTGCCCTGGGAGTGAAAGTGGGCCCGCCCAGTGGTGGTTAGGCAAAGGAGGACACACTTCCTGTAAGAAGACGGATGCTCCACGTTGCAGCTCAGCCCAGGCTTATTATGAATCCTGAACTCCCAGGGACTTAGGGTTTTGTCAGATGCTGTGAGCTGCTGGCACCAGCTAAAACAGCTTCCAACAGACAACCAAGCACCCACAGTCACAGCTAGTTACATCAACAGACAGTCACACACAGGCACCCCACACAGCAATAGCCAATCAGGCATCTAAGAACCTAACTGCGTGGGAGGCACGGCTACTGACACTGACATGACAGGCACGACCCAAATGATGCACACTGACCATGATAGTTGTAGAAAGGTACAAAAGACAACCACACACAGGAATGCACACAACCCAGCTAGACCCAGACTTGCAAAGCTACAGACTCAGCAAACAGTCACATTCACACATTTGGACACAGTAACTCAGCTGTCATTCCACAAAGACAAACACTGATGGGCCCCAGGATGCATATTCAGAGCTCCACACCTGAATCAGAGAAATTGCTGGTTACACACCTAGAGAGACACACCTTGTAACCTTTGCACGTGGCTTTCCAAAGCAGGTACAACCCAGGCTTGTGGCTATTCTCCAGTCTGACCCCACTTTACAGAGACAGGCACTCAGTGGCAAGCAGAGCTGTTTTAGCACTGATTGTAGAATTTTCAGGAATTTTGCAAGCTGGTTGTTAAACTCGGCCATTATTTTAAAAATCAGATTGTCTGCTTTTAATTAACTAAGTTATATGAAAAACAGAGGTAATATTTCAAAATCATCATTTCCTCATTATTTTACTCTCATCTATAGTCTAGAGGTAATTTATTTCTATTAAATAAATCCAGATGTTGAAAGTGCTAGATGGTATGGTACTGCACTTTTCTTCCTTTTATCTGTTTCAATTCGGTGACAGCATGTCAGTAGCTTGAGCTTGGCCATGGGAAGAGTTTTTCCACCACAGAAATTGGCAAACACAAGAGATCAAGTGTTTTTTTTTGGACAGCTGGCCATCAAATCTTAGTCAGCACGTGACCTTGCTATTCCCTGATCGTGCTTGTCTAGACAGATCTATGTCCATGCCCTCATAGTTTGTCAAGTGGTGAGATTCCAGAGGCCTGAGTTTGAATCCCAGTCCAGCTCCTTACAAAGTTGGAACATTGAGCAAATTATTTAACTTCTCTGTTTGATTCCTCTTTTGTGAAAATGGGATAATCAATCTATACAAATTGGGGAAATAAATAGTACCTACTTCCTAGGGTCATTGTGAGAACTCAGAGCAGGTAAAATTCTTAGAAGAGAGCCTGGCACATATTGTAGACCGTTGTAGGCCCACAAGTTCAAGCACACTCACATCTGCAGGATGCAGCTCTGAAGACACACTGAACCCAAGATCTATAAGAGGCTAAGGACTGACAGAGGGCAGCCTGCGGGAGGTGGTCCAGGTCCTCCCAGGGCGGGGTTGGCAGCTGGAACCCTGCAAAGGACATCCAGGACACAGTCAGCTGGTGTTCCCCAGGGAACCTATCTCAGGACTAGGGGCTGGGACTGGCCTCGAGACACTCCACTTGATCTTAGGTGGAGAAGCAATGGCCTGGCTTCTAGGAAGGGGGAGGGAGGAAGAAGGCTGAAACGGGTCACAAGTGTGTACAGGGCCTGGCAGCCACATTTTCAAATCTAAGCTTTCCTCCTTCCCCTCCCATCTACGCATGCATTCATCTGGGGAGCTCTGGGCTCTGTGCACAGCCCTCAGGCCTCAGATTAAAATGGTTGTCTTTAGCCAAGAGGAATAAGAGTGTTTGTCCACACAAAGACTTGAACACGAGTGTTTCTAGAAGCCTGACGTGTAGGAACCCCAAGCTGGAAACCACCCAAAAGACCCACCCACAGCAAATGGATAAACACTATGGTCCATGCACACAATGGAAAACTACTGAGCAATAAAAAGAAACTGTTGATGGCTGTGGTGACCAGGATGAATCTCAGAATAAATAAGCTAGTGAAAAAGTGTTCAGCCTGCACTTTTTTTTTAAAGTATCTAGTTTTTAGTGGTAGTTGAACACAATACTTATATTTATTTATTTATGTTTATGTGGTGCTGAGGATCGAACCCAGGGCCTCACCCGTGCCAGGTGAGCACTCTACTGCTGAGCCACAACCTTAAATCTCAGCCTGCACTTTTTATATATATTCCTTAAAAATACAAGGTCCATGCCAGGAGCAATGGTGCATACCTGTATAATCCCAGTAGCTCTGGAGGCTGAGGCAGGAGAATCGCAAGTTCAAAGCCAGCCTCAGCAATTTAGTGAGGGCTTAAGCAAATTAAGAGAGACCCTGTTTTCAAAAAGAACAAGCGGCTGGGGATATGGCTCCGTGGTAAAGCACCCCTGAGTACTGCCAAAAAAAAAAAAAAAACCAAGGTCACCTACAGTGATACAAAGCAGAGCAGTGGTTTTCTGGGGTTGGGGGTGGTGGGAGGGATGGATTAAAAGAGAGCCCACGGGCTGGGGTTGTGGCTCAGTGGTAGAGCACTCGCCTAGAATGCACAAGGCACCAGGTTCGATCCTCAGCACCACATAAATGTAAAATAAAGATATTGTATCCACCTAAAGCTTAAGAATAAATGTTTAATTAATAAATAAATAAAAGAGAGCCCAAGAAAACCTCTGGGGATAATGGCCATGTTCTTATCTTCACCTTAGTGGTGGTTTCATGGGTTAGACATTTGTCAAGACAAGACTCATCAAATCGTACACTACAATATGTGTCTTTATGGTATGTCAATTATACCTCAGTAAAACTGTGGGGAAAAGCTCACAAGACCCAGGTGCAGTGGTGCGCACCTGAGGCTGAGGCAGGAAGATGCTCGAGCCCACGAGTGTGAGGCCAGCCTGGGCAACATAGTGAGACCCTATCTCTGGAAAAAAAATAAATGCCTACAGTCGTCACCTGTGAAAGCCCACAGCTCACCGCCGGGAAGGGAGGGAGGGAGGCTACAGACGAAGAAGCTCATCTAGAGGAAGACAAAGGGAAGGGGGAGGGCACAGTCAGGGGTCAGGGGTCAGGGTCAGAGCGGGTGGTCAGGCTGGACTCTGTGCAGCTCGGTGCCAGAGGCGGAAGTCAGAAGGTTAGTCTGGGAGGGGACTTCTTCCTTTTCTGCTCCACGTCTGCCCTTCCATTAGGTGTGCTTGGGCCCTCTCCTCCCACCAAGCTCACACAGTAGTCAATCTCACCTTGTGACCCCCCACAGGAAGGGGCCCTTGACCTTCTGAAGAAGCTGAACAGCTGTCAGATGTCCATCCAGCTGCTGCAGGTGTGTGTGGGGAGTCTTCTGGGGGAAGGAGGGACCCTGGGGGAGACCTGCAAGGGTGGAGTCAGGGAGGAATTTCTGAGGGGAGTCTTGTGGGAGGGGCATCTTGAGGTGCAGACATGGGGGTTGGCCCAGGGGGACCCAGAAACATCTTGTAGGAGGCTGAGTACTTTCTAACTCACAGAGGCTTTGGTCTGGGGAGGCTGATTTGCTTTCCTTGAGCACCCTAATTCCCAAGACCCTGGGCCTGTGGAATGCAAGAGGCCAGGGATCCAGGAAGAGGGAAGAGTTCCACTGTCCTTAAATCCTCCCTGGATTGCCCCCAAACTTACAGAAGCTCCTGACTCTGGAAGATGAGCACAGACCCAAAGTGTGGGAGCTGGAGTCGCCACCGAGATGAAACTTGAGCTAACAGATACCAGGGGGCTGGGAATGGGGAAGGGTCCTGAGCAGCCAACTGCTCTGTCCTCAGCTGGGCACTGACCCCACACAGCGAGGCAGGTCAGGGCCTCAGCTGTAGGCTATCTGTAGGACTGGGGTCATTACACCAGCCACTGATCAGAACAGGGTCTCTGGAGAGGTCTGGATAGGAGAGGATGTGGGGACTGAGCCATAGCAGGTGCTGCCTCGGGGGACAGCCAACCCTGCTCGTCCATTCCCAGGCAGCCCTTGACCCCTTTGCTTTGCAGACGACCAGGATTGGAGTTGCCGTCAACGGGGTTCGCAAGCACTGCTCAGACAGGGAGGTGGTGTCCTTGGCCAAGGTCCTCATCAAAAACTGGAAGCGATTGCTGGGTGAGAGGGGCAGGGCTGGTTTTCACCGTGTTTCCCTCCTGGCTTTGGTAGGGGACAGAGCCTGGCTCGTAGCAGGCGATCAGTGGGTCTGCTGAGTGACTTAATAAAAGGCAGACGGACCAGGGAGGAAGCTGGTGAGGAATGTCAGTGTTGTGTACAGGAGAGCGAGATGCATCACTATGAGCTTGCCTGTGCATGTGCTTCTTTGCATGTTTCTGTTTGTGCCCGCAGGACGTGTCTACCTGCACACAGTTGTGTTACTATGCACATAGATGTGGGGCCACTTATATTTATGTCCCCATGTGAAAATGTGTTTTACACACACACACACATGCTATGTGTGTGTTTGTGTTAAGAGTGTGTGTGTGTGTGAGAGAGAGACAGTATGTGCACCTGTCCTGGTCCCTGCCCTTCGTTCCCTCCTTCCCAAAGTCACATGGGGTTCTGCTGAGAAGGTGCTGAGCTGAGGGACAATGCCTCCCTTTTGCTTTCAGACTCCCCAGGACATCCCAAAGGGGAAAAAGGAGAGGAAAGAGAGAAAGCCAAGAAGAAAGAGAAAGACCTCGACTGTTCAGATTGGAAGCCCGAAGCAGGCCTTTCTCCCCCAAAAAAGAAAAGAGGAGAAGAGCCCCCAAACAGGTATTTCTCTTCTGGGGTGGGGAGAAGGGGTCTGACACTCATCCCCCCACCTGCCAGCAGTTTTGTGTATAGTGTCTCACTGCAGCCTCACAGCCTGGGAGGTACCATCATTGTCTCCTACAGTGCTCCCTCCAGGGGACTTTGGCTCCACCTGACAGAACCAAATAAACCCAAGGTGGCACTGACTTTGCTTAGGATGCAGGGAGGGGACACAGGTGTGCCAGTAGGCCTTGCTGGGCCTCCAGAGTTCTCAGAGGGAACCACACAGCCTCCAGAGCTGTACTCCAGCCACCGGGCAACAGCCCCAGGCAGGGAAATGCGACCGCTGTGGGTGGGGGACCCCGGGCTTAGAAGCTCCATGTCCCAAATATGGTGCTGGTCCTGGAGGCAGAGTGTCTGGGATCCAGCAAGGGCGCCACCCATTGACACGACCCACGACCCTTGGGGCAGCACAGAGCTATGGATCTCCACTGATTATTTGCACTTCATTCTCAGCCTTTCCTGTCTAGATAGCTTTTCCAGCCAGGGGTCATTTGCTGTCTAAGTGGCATTGCCTGGTGACCCACACCACGGGCCACTTTTTTCATGTCTTCAGGGCCCCTGGGACTGGAGCTCATTTGTCCATTGGGACGAAGTGTTTGGTGAAGCTTTTTCTTGGCATTCCCATCTGCCACCAGGAAGCTGAGGTCAGGGGAGCAGAGGCTTCCCCAAGACCAGGGGGCTATTATGTGATGGAGTGGGGTTCCAATCTTCGTCAGGCCTCCACCCTTCTGCCAGCAGGAATAGAACAGTTGTTTGCCTCAACTCTGTCCCTGTACCCCCTTACCCACCCTAGCCAGGTCATCCCCCAGTTGCATGAGTCTCAGGTTCAAAGGCCATAAACTTCACAGTAGATTAAAACCTTCATGAACTTCTAAATAAGTCTTGAGGAGGCTGAGACAAGAGGGTCACTTGACCCTGGGCGTTTGAGGCTAGCTTGAGCAACATGCGATCCAGTCTCAAAACCTACCTGTTCCTTGTGTAACCAGAAGATCACTTAACTCCTTAGGGGGATGGGTGGTTACATTTGTCCATCTTGTAGATAAGGGGGATGGTATCAGATAACATCTAACGAGGTCATTTCTGTATTTTCAACGTGCATCCCTTTTGACCCAGTGCATCCTCTATGAAGAATTCATTTAAAAAATCAACCACATTAAAGCATAAAGATTACATGGTCCGCTGGGCATGGTGGCACATGCCTGTAATCTCGGTGGCTCCAGAGGCTGAGTTCAAAGCCAGCCTCAGCAACTTAGTGAGGTCCTCAATTTGGTGAGACCCTGACTCAAAATAAATCATAAAAAGGGCTGGGGATATGGCTCAGTGGTCAAGCAGCCCTGGGTTCAATCCCCAGTATCAAAAAAAAAAAAAAAAAGATCACATAGATTACATGTTCTATGTGTAACATTTTTCTGCTGATGTTTCTGAAACATTTTGGAACTCTGAAACCCTTCCTTCTTCTTTTTTTTTTTTTTTCTGGGCTGGAGAGAGAACCAGGGCCTTGAGCATGTTAGACAAGCACTCTACCACTGAGCCACACCCCCAGCCCCTCTGAACACTTTCTAAATGAACATTTATTATAATTGTATAAAACAAAGATGTTTTGCAGAAAACATCTTAGGAGACAAGGCTAGGAGAAGAGTGATTCTCAACCAGGCGGGTTGAAAATACCCTAACCAACCCACTCTGGTTTTGGGTTGTAAAAGAAATATCCTGCAGTGCACAGAATATTCCCCCCACATTGAAGAACTACAGTCAGCCCTCCGTGTCACGGGCTCCATATCCACGGATGGCATATCTGTAAATTCACCAAATATAGGTCAAATATATTTGGGGAAAAATTATGCCTGGACTGAACATCTACAGGCTTTGTTGTCATTATTCCCCCTAAAAGACATAGTATAACAACTATTTATATAGCATTTACATTAGGTTGTATTTTAAAAGTAATCTATACATGTATATACAGGAGGGTGGGCAGAGATTATGTGCAAATACTATGGTATTTTACGTAAGAGACTTGAGCATTTGTGGATTTTGGTATCCATGGGGGGTTCCTGGAACCAATCCTGCGTGGATACTGAGGAATGACTGTCTTTATTAATGTTTAAAATACCTGTGGGGCTGGGTCCGGTGGTGCACACCTATACCAGCAGCTTGGGAGGTTGAGGCAGGAGGATCGTAAGTTCAAAGCCAGCCTCTGCAATTTAGTGGGGCCCTAAACAACTTAATGAGACCCTGTCTCAAAATAAGAAAATAAAATAGGGCTGGGGATGTGGCTCAGTGGTTAAGTGTCCCTGGGTTCAGTGTACCGCCCCCCCCAAAAAAAAATTTTAAAAATACCAGTGGGACCCACATGGAGAAACACTGTAGGAGAGAAGAATATTTAATGATATGGTGAAATGTTCACTAAGTATTGAAAGAATGTGAACGATGTAGATAATATAGTATAATCCTGTTGTTATAAAAATGGAAAAGTGAATTTTATGAATATGCATGGAAAAGAAGACTAGAATGGCAATTGCAGTTATTTCTGGATGGTATCATTGAGAAGGTTCTTGTTTTTTTTATCTTTCAATAAGTTTATATCAATTTTCTTTTCCAATAAATATGTACGAATTTTTTAAAAAAATTTTAACATTTTTAAAGTTATAGATGGACATAATATCTTTATTTTTATTTATTTATTTTTATGTGGTGCTGAGGATAGAACCCAGTGCCTCACATGTGCGAGCAAGTGCTCTGCCACTGAGCTATAGCCCCAGCCCATATGTACTGATTTTGAAATAAAAAATATTGAGGGACTGGGGATATAGCTCAGTTGGTAGAGTGCTTGCCTTGCATGCACAAGGCCCTGGGTTCAATTACCAGCACCACAAAATAAATAAATAAGTAGATAGATAGATAGTAGATAAAAAAAAGAGCTAGAGATGTAATTTAAAAAAAATTGAAACAACTTTTTAAAACAAAGATGTAGTCAGGTGTGGTGGTGCACACCTGTAATCCCAGTGACTGGTGAGGCTGAGGCAGGAGGATTTCAAATGTGAGGCCAGCCTCAGCAACTTAACGAGAATGTCTCAAAAAAATAAATAAGGTTGGGGATTTAACTCAGTAGTATAGTGCCCCTGGACACAATCACCAGTGCCCATAATAAACAAACAAACAAACAAAAGATATATCTCTGCGATTGTAATTAAGACGATCTTTACCTTCTATATTTCACAATAAAATTTTAAAATCTCTATTTTCAGTTTTTCTCCATGATGATCCTGTATTGCTTTTGAAATAATCAGAAAAACAATGCACTTTTGAGAAGTAAACAAATAAGAGCAATGAAAATCTGTTGTAGAAATCATGGGAAATATAGAAAAGTAAAATAAAAGCATCCACATTCCCACCACCCAAAGACAAGTACTCTTAATATTTGGTATATATTGTTTCTTTCTGTTCTGCCTTTGACTTGTTTTCCAAACTTATCACCGACTTCACGGTCTGCTTTCTAAAACGTAATGATCACATGGTGTATTAGTCACACTGTCTGTGCCATGTGCTGTGTTCTGTTCTTTTTATTTTGCTTCCTTTGCAGTCGTGTCCCAGTTGGAGAACACCAACTGGCCTAGGACTTCCACATGGGTGTCTTTTGTTTTCCCAGAGGGGTTAGAAGGGTGCCTGGCAGGATGCCCTGACTGCCCCCATAGTGCCAAGCACAGAGTGAACATTTAGTGAGCACTGCTAGTGAGCACTGCTAGTCGTGTGGCCCTGTGGACCTCCTTCCACTAACAGGTCTGGCCATATCAGAGCACCTTTGGGTTCTAAGCACCTTGGCAAATGAGGGACAAGAATGGAGAGGGTTCTTGTGAGGTGAAGTTGAAAGATAAAGGGCTGAACTGTTGGGAGAGGAGACCTAATGGACTATGGGGCTGATCTGGAGAATAGTGAACATAGACATCCAGGTAAAGATGACAGCCTGAGCCAGGTGTGATGGTGCATTCCTATAATCCAGTGACTCAGGAGGCTGAGGCAGGAGGATTGCAAGTGCAAGGCCAGCCTCAGGAACTTAGTAAGGCTCTAAGCAAATTTAGTGAGACCCTGTCTCGAAAAAAAAAAGAAAGAAAGAAAGAAAGCCGGGCGTGGTGGCACACACCTGGAATCCCAGCAGCTGGGGAGGCTGAGACAGGAGGATTGTGAGTTCAAAGCCAGCCTCAGCAACAGTGAGGTGAAAAAAAAAGCTGACAGCCAGATCATGTGTAGGTTTTTTACTTGATGATCAGGAAAGGAATTTTCTTTAAAGGACTTCAGGGATAACCAGTATGAAGAGGGGGCGATTGGAAAGCAGAAAGCCAGGCTCTGGACTGACCTTGATCTCTCACTCTTCCCCTTAGTCTCTGAGACTTGTTATTGTGGCCTGAAAAATGAACATTGTTATCTCACTTCTTTCTTCTTAAAAATGAAATATTTTATTTGGAACATATTAATTATATTGATTGTATAGTCTGTCTTATAATTTATTTTATTATACAGGCAATTATTCATTGTAGAAAAATTTTTAAAAATACGTATGGGGGCTGGGAGAATAGCTCAGTGGTAGAGCTCTTGACTAACATTCACCAAGCCCTGGGTTCCATCCCGAGCACTACAAAAAGAAAAAAAGTCGTCTATTTCCTAGAGTGTGTGTGTGTGTGTGTGTGTGTGTACATATACATAATTATATTTCTTCTAGACTTTTTCCTATACATCACTATTCATAAAATGCTTATTTTTTTAAAAAAGGAATTATACTCTGTATGCTATTTTGTAACCTTTTCACATACACACATTTATTCATTTCATCAGTAAGTCATGTTTCATGTAAAAAGTTTAGAAAACAAAACAGCAGAATAACAGAAATGACCACTGTTAATATGCTGATGTCTATATTTCTAGTCTTGTAAAAACGTCTCTGTGTACATGTATATTTTCTTAATAAAATTTGCAGCACACGTTCTGTTCTCCTGGAATGCCGAGTTGTCTCGCCAGCTCACCTTCCATAGCCTCGGGCTCCGAAATGTCACTGGGGCTCAACAGAGCATGGGAAGGCATGTCCCCATTCTGCTGGGAGAAGCAAAGGGGCAGGGGTCCTACCTCTGCTCAATTGATGAACTTCCTTTCTTTGTCATTTTCCTAATTATACACTTTCTTATTATACAGACACCGTAGCCACATTCGTGAAATTTGAAATAACGATCAGAAACCTTTCCCCTCAGTGTATCACCTCTGGCAAATGATCTACCTACATAACTCAGGCGTGCATTACTGAGAGAGTGCAAGCGACTGTCTCCTGTTTAGGAATGTTCCTGTGGTGTCTAAGCACTTTTTCATGTTTCTGGATAGTTTTTGTAAAATGAATGTTTGCAATAACTAGATATTTCTGGTTTGCTCAACAAAGAAAAAAAAAGAAGAAGCAGCAGGGCCAGAAAGTGGTGGGACTCTGGACTGGAGCCTCGTGTTCCCTCCTCTCAGCCAGACACGATGGCCCAGGCCTGGAATCCCAGCGACTTGGGAGGCTGAGGCGGGAGGATCACAAGTTCAAAGCCAACCTGGGCAACTTATTGAGACCCTGTCTCTAAAAAATAAGAGGGACTGGAGGTATAGCTCAGAGGTAGAACACTGGATCCAATCCCCAGTACGGTAAACAATAATAATAAATAAATTTAGTAACTGTTACCTCTGGAAAGGTTCCTTTCCACCTTTCTAGTTGGATGTTTCTGCATGTTCGATTTCACAGCATTCAGCGTCTACTTGGTGAGCACCTACTTGGTGCCGGGCACGATTCTGTGTGTTTGGAATAAGCCTGGCCACATAGTAGATTGGGTTCCCCAGAAGCAGCCCCTGACACGCAGATTCAAGTGTAGTGGTATTGTGGGAAGTGATTCAGGAGGTGTGGATAGAGGAGTGGGAAGCAAGACAGAAGAGACAGAAGTTAGAGGGACGGGGTGGAAGCTAGAACAGTGTGATTTGCCCAGCAGCTGATTGGCGTGGGCACTGGGACTTAAATCCTGCTGGGGAACTCTGGGTGACATTGGAAAACATATGTCAAATTATCCCTCCGAGGGCTGAGGCAACCAGGGTATTTATCCCCAGTCCCCATGTGTCTTCTTGAATGCGGCTCCTGGGGTCTGCACTTCTCCAGGACTGACAGACAGCACCCCTGGCTGGCCTGGAGAAACCCTGAATGCAGAGGCCCTGGGGAGGTTGAGGAGGAAGCCCATGGATCTGGGACACTGGCAGATGGAGGGCCCAAGGGTCATTGGACTCTGCAGAGTGACCAAGTCCTGCCCAACCCTGCTCTTGTGGAATTTTCCTGGAGGGAAGTTAGGGAAAAATAGAATAAGAAAGTCAATCATGTACCATGTCAGAAGGTGACATGGGCCATGGACTTAGAAGAATTGGGTGAGATGGGGAGTAGAAATGCAGTTTGCAAACATTAATTTTATAAAACCAGTAAATGGAAGAATAATCATAAAAATAATGAAGTTAAATGCATTTTGGAAAATTAAGAAAAAAAAACTTCACCCCCATCTCCACACCCTCCCCTAACAGTGGCTGTAGCTACCGTTCAGGTAGGTTTTCTTTTCATCCTTTTCCCTCCTGGACATTGGTTTTCTTGCGTGACTTCAGCACAGTCTACATCTAATTTTGTCCCCTGCTCTTTCAGTTACCATTTTAACTCAGCTCCGGTGTCTTCAAAGTCTCCGTACTTCTCTCCCTGCGCCTCCTCCCCCGTGCCCTGCAGGGGTGGCTGGAACCCATCTCTCGGTTTCCCTGGCTGCTGATGAGAACAGGCGCCCACCAGGGCCTGCCTAGCAGCCAGGAGGAGAGGGGCCTGCTGGGAGCTAGTTGTGAGTAATTAGTGACACCTGGTAGAACAGGGGATCTTCAGGCCTTGGTTTCCTCCCCTCCTGTTGCCTCACTGGACGGGACAGGTGAGGGTGAGCAGCCAGCACTGCCTGGACCTCCCTCTCCAGGTGCCCTGGCCAGGTGGGTCCTCATCCTCCCCCAGCAGGCCTCGCTCCAGGACCCTTTCTCCCAGCCTCCTGGGGAATCAGCCCTGGTCCAGCCTGCCAGACGGCTCACCTCCAATCTCTCTTCTTTCAGGAGAGACTCTGTGGACTCCAAGTCTTCCACCACCTCCTCTCCAAAAAGGCCTGCGATGGAAAGGTAAGGAAAGTCACCGGTTTCTCCATTGTAAAAGTCCTAGGGCGTTCAGCAGGTGTCCCCCTCTCTGCTTAAGGGAGGAAGCCTGAGGAGGGGGAGGAGGAAACCGCATGCATCATGTTGCCTCTAAATTCTAGGCCCCACAGGAGTGGCTTCTCTGCTGGGGCAGCTGACCAGGTGCTGTTGCTCCTTCATCTGTGAAACATTCTCAAGGTCAAGTTGAACCCAGAAAGGACAGAGGTCCTAAAAGCCTTTTTCTGGAGTGATGTATCTGCATTTGGGCTGAACTGCTTAGGATGTCCACTAGAGGGTGTCCACAAATCATCCAGACATTGGTTCATCAAATATTTACTGAGGGAGCCGGGCATGGTGGCCCACACCTATAATCCCCAGTGGCTTGGGAGGCTGAGGCAGGAGAATCACAAGTTCAAAGCCAACCTCAGTATCTTAGTGAGGCCCTAAGCAACTCAGCAAGACCCTGTCTCTAAACAAAATATAAAAAAAGGACTGGGGGTGGGGTGGGCTGGGGTTGTGGCTCAGTGGTAGAGCACTTGCTTCATACTTATGAGGCACTGGGTTCCATCCTCAGCACCACATAAACACATAAGCAAAATAAAATTATTAAAAAAAAAAAAAGGACGGGGAATGTGACTCAGTGGTTAAAGCACCTCTGGGTTCAATCCTCAGTAACAAAAAAAAAAAAAATAGTACCGAGGGCCTGCTGCGTCCAGGAAGTGTTCCAGGTGCCAGGAATAGAGATACAAAAGAAGAAAAGTCCCCACCTGAGTGGCAACAGGCAGTACATTCAGTAAAGAAGTCACACAGCGGTTCAGGAGGCGACCAGAAGTACAGGAAAGCAGAGGGGAGAGGAGGATGTTCATCAGAGGAATGAGGAAAGCCTGTGTTGAGAAGGTGACCTTGGGGCAAAAATTTGAAGGAGGTGAGGGAGTGACTGGTGCAGATATCGGGGTCTTTTCAAGCTGGGGGTGGTAGGTCTGATAGAGTTCAGGGACACTGGAGGTGGAGGGAGCAGATTGGGAGAGGGGGAGGGTTGGAGGGGACATTTAGAAACGGGAGCCACTGGAAGGCATTGAGCACTGGAATCAAATCATATTTACCAGGATCCTTCCGGCTGAGGATGGTTGCAGGGATCCCTGGGCAGAAGCAGAGACCAGTCAGAAGGCCAATGAGATGATTCAGGCCAGATATAATGGTGGCTTGGATCAAGTGGGAGAGGTGTAGGTGAGAAGGAGGGGTGGATTGAGGATCTATTTTGTAAAGGAGCTGATAGGATTTCCTGGCAGTTTGGATGTGCGATATGAAAGAAAAAGATTTAAGATGATTCCAAGATTTTTCATTTGAGCATCTGCAAGGATGGAGTGGCCATTAATTGGTATGGAGAAGACTGTGTGGAAATCGGGCTTGGGATGGAATATCAAGAGTTCAGGTTTGGAAGCTGCATACACATGCCTGTAATTTCAGCTATTTGGAAGGTTAGGGTGGGAGGATCACAAGTTCAAGGCCAGCCTGGGCAATTAGTAAGACCCTGTCTCAAAATAAAAAAAGGACTATGGGGAACTGGGCACAGTGGTAGACACCTATAATCCCAGTGACTTAGGAGGCTGAGTCAGGAGGATTGCAAATTAGAGGCCAGCCTCAGCAAGTTGGCAAGACCCTATCTCAAAATAAAGAATAAAAAGGGTTAGGAGTGCAGCTCAGTGGTAAAGTACCCCTGTTTTCAATCCCCAGTACCAAAAAGAAAAAGGGGGAGGCCTAGGATGTAAGTCAGTGCTTGCCTGGCAATGTATAACACCCTGGATTTAATCTCCAATACTGAAAAAAAAATAAAGTTCAGGTTTAGACATGTGGATTTGAGGTATGCGTTAAGTCATTCAAAGAGAAGCTGAATAGACAGTTATGCAAGGGTGGAATTCAGGAAGAAAGTCTAGGCCAGAAATGTAAATTACAGAGTCATTAGTGTGTAGCTGGCATTTAAAGTGACATCACCAAAGTGACATCACCCAAGAGAGATTGTAGATAAAGGAGTGAGCGTGGGTCATGGCCCAAGAGGGAGGACAAAAGTCAGAATAGTAGGAGAAGTAGGGCTGGGGAAGAGTAAGGCAGACAGGGAGGTGGCTTAGAGGTGGATCAAGTCCAATGGTGAGGGTCCAGGTGCCATTCTGAAGTCTGGAGAGGCCTGCTGGAACAAGCAGGGTGTTGGCCTCTAGACTATGTGTGACAACTGAAATCGTTTTAAGCCTAATGTACCAGTAAGACTGCCATTGGAAAGAGGAGTAAGGGCACAAAAATTAGGTCATCCACGGCATCATCAAGATCAAGCAGGCCTGAGATGTTGACACAATGCCAAGCCGGCGGCCGCAGCTGCAGGGTGGAGGCTCTCTGGAGTGCTCCTTGGAGAAGGAGCCTGAAGCTGTGTCCTGCCTCTGAAGTTCTTAATCAGGAGAATCATCTTAATGAATGCACCCGACTAGAAATGTCTGCCATGGGTCAGGCCTAGGAACAGAGGCTTCAATATCATCTTGCTTCTAGACCACTGGTTCTCAGCAGGACTCACTCAGACATTTGTGGACACTTTTTGGTTGTCATGACTTGAATGGGGGTGAGGGGTGGGGGCAGGAAGACACTATTGGCAATTAGTAGGCAGGGACCATAGATGTTAAGTGAACAGTTGTCCTATCCCCAAATCAAATGCTGACCATTCATCCATTCTGGATTTGATGCTGTAATCAAAACAGTTGACCTTGATGTAGGACTGATGCCTCCAGACCGCTTTCGTGACTTTGCTTCAATGCCTTAAAGTCTCCTGGCTCTCTCCACTAATGCGTTTTTCCCCCTAAAAGTCAGTCAAGCAGAATATATTTGCTCTTCTAGAGGTTGTACTATTTCCTGCTGGTTCGGTATTGGGGGTGGGCAACCTAAAGGACACAAGCAAGTCTTGGAAATTCACTTTTTTTTTTCTATTTAGACTGTTTTCTGCACTGTTTCACGTGTCTTATTCATTCATGTATGCATGCATTTGGCAAGCACATCTTTGCAAACTCAACATCCTCCAGGGATCCAGGGCATGTGTGCAGCCTGAGTGACTAATGGAGACCACGACAAACCAGAGAGAACGTGCCTATGCAAGGAGGCAGCTGCTCCCCAGCCCCAGCTGGTTATTGCCTTGGGAAATGCAGACCCCCTGTGCTATTTCCTCCAGGGTTTTGGTTTTGGTTTGTTTTCCAGGTTGGCTTTGAACTCCTGCTCTTAAGTGACCCTCTTGTCTCAGGCTCCCAAGTCTCTGTGACTTACAGGCACACCCTACAATGCCAGGCCACCTTCCAGTGTTGAGGAAAGCTGGACATCTAGATTTTCATGTGAAACTCCCAGTTTTCAACACTGGCAACATATTCATATTTTTCTAAGACGCAAGAGGGCCCCAAACATTATTTTGTAACCCAACTGTTCACAGCATCTAAAGCCAGGCAAAACTAAAGCTCAGGGTCTCTGATTTTGTGGCTCTGACAGCTCATGAGGAGATAGGCCACAGAGTGAGGACTTTTAGAAGGGAGTAGATATAACACGCAGAGGGAACGCAGGGAGAGCGTTTCGATATGACTTGAGTAGTCAAGGGAGACTTCATGGCAGAATTAGTTTTGAGCTGGGAATCAAAAGATGCATGGCCGTTTGCAGGGCAGACAGTCCAGAAGAGGGCGTCCCGAGCAGCGGAATGACACACACAAACGCATGGCAGTAAAAGTGAGGATGGTGCTTTCATAGATGTAGCTGGAATACCAAGAAACCGACCAGGAAGGGCACCGTGGTGACAGGAAAGGACTTGCACTTGAATCTTAGGACGGTAACCTCGCTGTCAGAATTGTTGGACTTTGGCCAGAGCAGTTACTGCATGTTGGCAGTGCAGTCACCGAGATGCCCTCAAGGTGGCGCACAGGAGCAACGAGCCTCCAGGTGCCTCTGCCCAGACCTGAGGAAGAATTTTCTAAGAACTCACGCTGGCCCTTGGGGAAGCAGAAAGAAGCTGTGGATAAATCCAGCCTCCGCCGATACCCCAGTGGATGATGCCCTCTCTGCAATTTGGAATGGTTCCCAATCGTTTGTGCACTGATGCCACCCAGACACAGATTCCAGCCTGCCAGCCAGCTCCTAGCCAAGCTGAAGGGATGGGGCTAGTGTGCTCTGCTGGGAAGGTGGAGAGGAGATGCTCCAAGCAGCCTCATCTTGCTCTAATAAGATGATTCTGGAAAGCTTTTATTTAAAAACATGGTGTCATGTGCTGAAAAGAATTGGGAAGGCAGACAGACCTAAATTTGTCTCTACCATTTGGTAGTTAGATGGCAGACCTTGGACAAGTCAGTTCAACTCTCTGAGTCCCAGTCTAATGATCGGTAAAATGGGAATAATTATGACCGCCCCCCCCACCAAAGTCACTGAGGATCAAAGTGGATAATGAACTGCCTAGTACTGTTGCCGACCCTACAAGGGTTCATAAGTGTGTAATGTGGAGTAGTAATACTCGTGCAATGTGTTTGCTTCTGTAAGTTGCCTAATGCTTTTTTAGTGGAACTCTTCTTAGGTCTTTTAATCATTTCAGTAACCCCATAAGATGGCTGCTACTGTTATTTCCATTTTATGTGTGAAAAAAATGGCATGGTGGTGCATGCCTGTATTCCCAGTGGCTCGGGAGGCTGAAGTAGGAGGATGGTGAGTTCAAAGCCTGACTCAGCAAAAGCGAGATGCTAAACAACGTAGTCAGACCCTGTCTCTAAATAAAATACAAAAAATAGGGCTGGGGTTGTGGCTCAGTGGTTGAGTGCCCTTGGGTTCAACCTCTGATACCCACAAACAAACAAACCAACCGACCAAAAATCGAGGCACTTAGAGGTTAAGGAGCTTACTTGAGGTCCCATAACTACACAGTGGATGTCCCTGTGAGTTTGGCTCTGGAGTCTGGGTTCTTCATGAATCTACCACCTGGTGTAGACAGTCCAGAAACGATGACTGTTGTTATGGCTCCTTCAAAGCAGTGTGCTCTAGGCTCCCCTCCAAGGTCTCCCTCTGGTGAGCCCTAAATTTTGAGGATGTGTGCAGGCTTCATGCCACCACAGGAGATGGGAGAGCAATCCCTCTCTTAAACCCAGGGCGAATGGCCACTGACCTGCCAAGAGGGCCTCCCCACCCACAGCTCGGCCCCACCTGGAGCCCCGGGAAGCGCCGCTCATCTGCTGGCCGGGTCCCTCAGCCCATCATGCGTTTGTCCTTCCACGGTGCATTCATTCGGCAGAGCGTTTTCAAGTGCCTACCTGGAGCACTGTCACCGGTGCTGGAAGAGAGTGAGAAGCCTCAAGGTCGCTGCCCTGGGCAGCCTGTGACCTGGAGGTGGAGGCAGACAATGTTTATAAACACATAAACAAGTTAATTATAGACTGAAAAAAAAAAACCAGGTCAGGGACAGTCTGCCTTGGCTGAGGTGGTCAGGGAAGGCCTCCCTACGGATGTGACATTTGAGCTGAGACCTGGCTGGCGGGAAGGCACCTGTCGGGAGGAAGAGTATTCCAAGAGGAGGCAGGAGCCAGCGCAGAGGCATGGCCACGGAGCAGTGGCTATGTCCCAGGGACAGAAAGAGGCGGCGCTGTGGGCGCTTCAGTGAGCTGGGGTGGGGCAGTGGCACCAGGCCAGGTCTGACGGGCCAGATGTGGAGGGGCTGGAAAGCCATGGTGAGGAGTTTGACGTGGTGATGAAAATAAGTGGCTGTTAGGGGGTCAGAAGCAGGGGGATGACTTGACCTGTGTGGGTTTTGAGAGGTCCCTCCAGCTGCTGTGTGGATTTAAGGGGGCAAGAGCACGGGGGTGACAGCTTCAGGGCTCTCCTGCACAGGCAAGAGCCCAGGGACTGGGACCAGGGTTGGGGTAGGAGCTGCAGGAAGCACCCTGTTCACAACCCTCCCGCCCCTCCCCACCTTTCTCTGAAACACACCACAGAGAGGTGCAGGTGGGTCTTGGCTCCCTCATCTCTTGCCCTGCTCCCAGCCCCCTGTAGTCAGGCAGAGGTGGGTAGAATCAAGGGTGAAGATCCAGAACAGGGACTGGGGTTGGGGCTCAGCGGCAGAGCGCTCACCTAGCAGGTGTGAGGCCCTGGGTTCCATCCTCAGCACCACGTGTAAATAAATAAAATAAAAGTATCCTGTCTACCTGTAACTAACAAAATAATAATAATAATTTTAAAAATCCAGAACAGTGAGTCTCAAACTGCATTAAAGAATGAATAAATGAAAGCGTGGGAATCACTTTGAACAAAATTTTAGGAACTTACATTGCACAAGAGCTGAGCCTGTGCTCCCTGTCCGCCTCGCCCAAGTGGCAACTAGCAGAAGCATCACGTCTCCGGAAGATACAGAAATCCCAGTGTCTATGGCCATAAAAGGAATCCAAAGCCAGGCCAAAGAGCAGGCACTGGGGACGAGGAGGTCATAGGCAAAGTTGACACTAAGCAGTGCTCTGAGGATGTTGAGTAGGATTCTCTTATAACCCCAGGTTTTGTTTTGTTTTGTGACCATGGGGACAGAATCCAGGGCCTCACACTGAACTCGACCACCCAGCTCTCTATCTTTTATTATTTTCACATAGGGCCTCTCTAAGTTGCTGAGGCTAGCCTCGAACTTGTGATCCTCCTGCCTCAGTTGCTGGGATTAGAGGCTTGTGCCATTCAGCCGGCTGAAACCCCAGTTATTTTGTTGTTGTTGTTGTTGTTTGTTTTTAAAGAGAGAGAGAATTTTTTAATATTTATTTTTCAGTTTTTGGTGGACACAACATCTTTTATTTTTATGTGGTGCTGAGGATTGAACCCAGCGCCCTGCGCCTGCCAGGTGAGCGCGTTACTGCTTGAGCCACATCCCCAGCCCAACCCCAGGTTTTAATACTTGGAAGCCCTGGCTGCTCAGCCAGACTCTCTCTCAGCCAGACTCTCTCTCAGCCACAACTCCTTAGACCTGAAAACTCTCCTAGCAGCCCACCCTCCTCTTCCTGAAGGGAAGCAGCACATCCACAGACGGAAAATGAACTTGACAATCAGCTGCAGATCCAGACCCCGTGTTGCCTGGTGCAGGTGCAGCTGCTCAGACTGCAGTGCACAACTGGGAGGCCAGTGTCGGGGAGGGCACCTCCTGCTGTAGGAAGCCCAGCAGCCTTTGGGGCCCTTTCACAAGGGCTTAGGGTGACTAGACGCTGGAGTGGAGGAGGGGAACCTAATTTCTTAGATGAGTCAGTTCTGGCGTGATTGAAGGCACCTGTGATCCCTGTTGTTTAGGAGACAGATGCAGGAGGATTGTGAGTTTGAGACCAGCCTGGGCTACACAGCAAGACCTTGTCTAAAAAAAAAGCCATCACAGTTCTGGAAGGGAGGAAGGAGCTATCCACAACTGTCACCAAGTCCTTTCACTTCTCCAAGTTCCATTTCCTCATTGGTAAAACGGGGCCAGGAATTCTTGCCTCTCAAGGCTACCATGAGGAATAAGTAGCAAAGGCACGGTAAATGGTGGCTTCTGTTACCACCATCCTTAACCAGCCCCTGGGTCAGGCCTTCTCTCTCCTTCCACCTCCCTCACCTCCACAAGCCCCCTCACCCTCCCACTCCAGGATGCCGAGCCCCTCAGCTTCCCCTTTGCAGACTGGGACTTCCACATTCCCATATGTTCCTGCGAGGAATGCGTTGTCATTGTCCTTTCCTCTCATCTGAGTGGCCGCCTCCTCTCCATTCCTTGCCGAATTCTTTGGACTGAATTGCACCACCTTGGGACCCATTTCGCCTTTCTCTCTCTCTCCCTTTCTCTCTCTTGTGTGCATAGCGGTGGGTAGTGTTGGAGATTGAACCCAGGGTCCTTGCTTGCTAGGTAGGTGCTTAACCACTGAGCCACTTCCCCGCCCTTCTGTTTATTCTCCTTTTTTTTTTTTTTGGTACTGGGGATTTAAGCAGGGGCGCTTAACCACTCAGCCACATCCCCAGCCCTTTTTATTGTTTTATTTTGAGACAGGGTGTCACTAAGTTGCTTAGGACCTGATAAGTTGCTGAGGCTGGCTTTGAACTTGCGATCCTCCTGCCTCAGCCTCCTGAGTCTCTGGGATTATAGGCATGTGCCACTGTGCCCAGCTCCATTTGCCCTTCTTAAATCATGTGGTAAGGTCTGGTATCATAAGAGTAATGGGCACAGAGAACCATGGGGACACTGGGCCATGCCCCTCGTGCACACCCAGCTCTTCTTCATCAGGACCCAAAGGACCAACAACAGTTGGAGTCTGAGCTCCAGACTGTTTATTTATTTTTTTGGTTGTATGCATTAACATTTCATCTTTTTTTTCTTTTTGTTGTTTTTTAAATTGTGGCAAAATACACATCACAAAAGTTTCCATTTTAACCTTTTTTTTCAGCTTGAGAAAAATGAGATAGTTTATCATTTCAGATGCATTAAGATTTACCAGATAGGGCTGAGGTTGTGGCTCAGTGGTAGCGCACTCACCTAGCACGTGTGAGGCCCTGGGTTCAATCCTTAGCACCACATAAAAATAAATAAATAGATAAAATAAAGGTATTGTGTCCAACTACAATTAAAAAATAAATATTTTTTAAAAAGATTTACCAAATATATAAAACAAATTAGCTAAAACTGTTTATTGCAGATTTCTGGACTACTCTTTTTCATCCCACAGTGCTGGAAATCCAGCACAGGGTCTTGTGCAGACTAGGCAAGAATTTTACCCCTGAGCCACCTCCCCAGTCCAGCTTCCTGGCCAGTCCTAGTCACTGAACTTACTATATGGATTTTTAAATCTTTTATGTATTTATTTTTTTGTTGTAGTTGGACACAATACCTTTATTTTATTTATTTATTTTTATGTGGTGCTGAGGATCAAACCCAGGGCCTTGCACATGATAGGCGAGCATTCTACCTCTGAGTCACAACCCCAGCCCAGGATTTTTAAAAATTTTTTAAAAATATAAGTTTAACATACCAGGCACAGTGGCACATGCCTGCAATTCCAGCAACTTGGGAGTCTGAGGCAGGAGAATTGCCAAGTTCAAAGCCAGCCTGGGCAACTTAACAAGATCCTGTCTCAAAACAAGAATTAGAAAGGGCTACAGATATAGCTCAATAGTACAGTGCTCCGGTTCAAGCCCAAAAAATAAATAAAAAGAAAATATATATAATATTTGCCCATTTTTGCCATTTTAAGTGTACAGTCAAGTGGCCTGAGTCTATACACCATGTTGTGCAACCATTACAAACACAAAGTTTCAGAGATGAATGAAGTGTCTTAGACTGAAACTCTACACCCATTAGACAACCATTCCCCACCCTGTTTCCAGCCCCTCACAATCACCATCCTACTTTCTGTATGATTTGGATTATTCTAGAAACCTCATCTATGTGGAATCATGATGTTTGTCCTTTTGTGTCTGGTTGATTCTGCTTATATTGTATTCAGAGTTTATCCATGGTGTGGCATGTGTCAGGATCCCCTTCTTCTTTACGGCTGAATAATATTCCGTTGTATGTACACATCACTTTTCTTATCCGTTCATCCATCTCTGGACCTTTGAGTTACTTCCACCTTTTGCTGACAGCTCCTTGGGAAGAAGAAGATAGAAAAACCTGTCTCAGCTACCAGCTTAGAGTGACCTCTCGTGATTGCCAAATGTTAGAACAATTTTATTACTATATATATATATTCTTCATAGAAAATTTTAAAAATGTGTATAAGCAAAAAACTCTTACGATAAAAATCTCTTACGATCCCCAAATATCTGAGAGATAATTGCTATTAACATGGTTTGTGAACTCAATGTTTGTGATACCCACCCCTAAAGCCTCAAACACCCTTATGACTTCATTTGGAGGTAGGACCTTTATGGAGACTTTAAGGCTAAAGGAAATCACAAGGGTGGAGACCTGATCCATTAGGGTTAGCATCCTTATAAAAAGAGACACCAGAGAACTCACTTGCTCTCCCCCATGTGGAAACAGCAAGAAGTAGTCATTTACAAGCCAGAAAGAATCCTCACCAGAAACTGAATTGGCTAGCACCTTGATCTTGGACTTCTCAGTTTCTAGAACTGTGAGGCATAAATTTCTGTTTTTTGGGGTTTTTTTTTGTACCAGGGATTGAACCCAGGTGTGCTTAACCTCTAAGCCACATCCCCAGCCCTTTTTTATATTTTATTTAGAGACAGGGTCTCACTAAGTTGCTTAGGGCCTTGCAAGTTGCTAAGGCTGGCTTGAGACTCACAGTCCTCCTGCCTCAGCCTCCTGAGCCACTGGAATTATAGGCATGTGCCATTGCATGCAGTTAAATTTCTGTTTTTGAAGCCATCCTTCTGTGGTATTTTGTTATGGGGTGCCTGAACTAAGACACCTGTTTAGTTTTCCTATCATCTCTGTGTGTGTGCATTTATATTTGCTTTTTTAAAAAAAGGGAGATTGGTCTTGGGCAGTACACCCTAGAGCCAAGAACAAAGGCACTGGAACCAGGCTGCCCTGGGTTCACAATCTCAGAGGTGCTGCTATGGGGATCAAAGTAGAAAATGCTGGTAAAGGGACTGGGGCTCTAGCTCAGTTGGTAGAGTGCTTGTCTTGCATGCACAAGGCACTGGGTTCAGTCCCTAGCACCACACACACACACACAAAATGCTGGTAAAGTACCCGGTGGCCCTCAGGCACCTGGCTGAAACCAGCCTGTTCTCACAGGACTCCAGCTCCTAGAGGGAGAAGCCATGCCTGGTTGGCTGCTTCGTCCCTTGTTCTTAGCATAGAGCCTGCAGAATGGTGCCTAATACATAGTTACTGAAGTAACAAATGGCTCATATTCTTACGAGTCCAAAGATGGAGAGAAACTAGTACAATGCTCAATAGATTATAGCGTTATGGGTGGCATCACCTGTCCTATGACTTGTAAAGCACCGTGGTTGGTCAAGAGTGTGGGTTCCCAGGAGCTGCACTGCTAGGGTTTGAATCCTGTTGGCTCCCAGAGGTGTCATCTGAGTCAAGTGCATCTTTAAATGGATCTACGTCTAAGATGCACCTCTAAAGTTGGGATGAGAATAGCATTGACCTCACGGAATTGTTATGGGGATTAAATGAGATGATCTGTATCAAGTACCTAAAATAGAACCTGCCTCATCAGGTTGTTAAGAGGAGCAAGAGAGAACACCCCTATAAACATCCAGAATGGTGCTCCATCCATGCGTTGTCCACGTAACGTCAACTTGTCTATCACTGATTGTCATCCTCAGATCAAACAGCAGCAGATCAAGAGCAGAGACCCCCAAAACACCCAGCAGCCCCTCCACTCCCACGTTTGCCCCCTCCGTCTGCCTCCTGGCGCCCTGCTATCTCACAGGGGACTCTGTCCGGGACAAGTGTGTGGAGATGCTGTCAGCGGCCCTGAGGGCAGAAGGTGAGAGCTCATGGGCCAGGGAAAGGGGCTCCCCAGGGCAGGCGAGGTGCCCCTTCCCCAACACCACTTCCTGGGAGTGGAAAGGGAGCACTGCTGTCCCCAGCTCAAGCAGGTACCTCTGTTGGTGGCAGTCGAGTCTGGCTCATGTCTGTATGTCCTGGTCTCTTTCAGATGATTACAAGGATTATGGAGTCAACTGCGACAAGATGGCTTCAGAAATTGAAGATCATATCCTTGAAGGGTGCCGGGTCTGTGGGTGTCTGGTCCGCCTGGTGATGGGGCAGGCTCTGGGGACAGCCCCAGCCTCTTGTTAAGCACCTCAGCCACCACAGAGGACAGCCCCACAAGGTTCCCTGATGGAACCGTTGTAGGTGGGGCAGCGGAGGCGCAGGGAGGTTGCCACTTGCCAAAGCTCCTGCAGCGGAAGGAGGTGGCAGAGTTGGGATTTGAACTGCTGGGTTCCAGCCGCTGTGCCAGATCCTAATGTGGATCTGGGTGGTCAGACAGGGAGCAGGTCTCCCACGTGGCCTTTCCCCTCTTCCTCCCTCTGATAGTAACAGCGCCATGTTTGACCTCCTGATGTTGTACCAGGCCTGTGCGCTGTGCACCTGATGCTTCCTGTCTCTGTTAAGGCTCCTGACGACCTCTGAGGTGTGAGCTGTTGTTCCCATTGTATAGATGAGGAAGCTGAGGCCCAGGAACTACTGAGTGTCAGGTCTGACTGGAGGCTTTGGCCTTTGGATTTCCACAGGCCCTGCTCCCGCCTCCTGTCTGAAAGGGCCCTTGTGTAGACAGGGAGGGGCAACCTCACTGCTGTAGGCCCATTAGTCCAGAGGATTCTGCTTGGGAAAGAGTCTCTCCCTCCACTGTGCCCTGCTGAGTGAATGCATGGAATGTCTTTTTACTGAAGACAAAGGTTTGCCTGTCAGAGACAAAGAGGTGCAGAGGGAGGGGACAGAATACCTAGGAGAGAGGGAGTCTAAATGTCACACGGGGTGTGAGTGGCCCTTTCCAGACCTCCTGGGTTCTAGCTAGGTCTGTCAGAGAGGCCCAGGGCCAAATCTGCAGACAGCAAGCTTGCCTGCTTCCACATCCTGCCTGAAGCCAACCCTAAGTCCCCCAACATGTTTTCTGGAAGTTTCTCTCTATACATCCAGCGACTAGAACTACCCAAGACCTCAACAAACATGCTGCCATCCTCTCCTGTTAATCCAGGAAGGCTGAGCCCACCCAGGGTGTCAGGACTTCATTTTCTCCACAACGGCCACCCCTCTAAGCAGGTCCCTCTATCCCCAAGCCCAGTTTGGAACTAAGTGGATGGCCTCAAACCTGGTTTCCCTCCTGGCTTTCCCTCCTCATTCGCTGCTTCTACTGAATGTCCCTCTTCTAAAGGAAAGGACATGGACGCTGCACAAACCTTATAGCCCAGAGGATGGATGTAGGGCTTGAATTCTCTGTGTCCCCAGAAAAGGCTGGTCCTCTTTGGAGACCCCTGAACCTACGTGGCATGTGTGCAGCACAGGACACACCCCTTCTGAGGGGTCAGACCCCAAGGGCTGCCCTCCCGCTTCTTCTCCGGTTTAGGAAATGGAGGAGTCAGAGATAGACTGAGGGATGTGTGGCCAGCCCAACTGTCCCCACATTCTGTCCTGCATAGCGACAGATACACGATCCAGAAATCCTGCATGGAAGGTTTCCTGACACATATTTTGACTCTCAAATTGCATCGTGACATATTCTTTTCTTTTCACACTTTTACGGTATTAAAACCACAATCGTAGTAAAGAGCAATAATACCTCCTGCCTCCCCACCATTTCTGGCGAGTCGGCTGCCTCCGTCCTGCGCGTCCCCCGCGGGCTCCTCTGTATGTGGCTTTTCCCAGCAACCGCTTTGTTTTCCTGATTCTGCTTGGCTCAGAGAGCCAGAAAATGAGGCTGTGTTCCCGAGCTGCTCCAGAGGGTGGGGGGGTGGGAGGCCCATCTGGGATGCAGCGTTGGGAAAGAAACTCGCTGTGGTCGGTGGCCAGGGGCAGCTTCCTGCAGGGTGAGCGGCCAGAGCACTGCTGTTAAGAGGGGGTCTGGCCTCCAGCCCTGTCTGCCAGGAATCTGCCCTGTGACCTTGAGCCTGCACCCTTTGCAAGCCTCAGCTTCCTTGTCTAGTAATAGGAGAAGGAGTCACTGGTCAGCCATTCCTGAGGTGGGTTCTATGGGATGAAAATCATGGTCATGGCAATTACCAAAGGAAAGGAGGAGAGGGGCCGGGCACAGAGGAGGATCACAAAATTTAGGGCAGTCTGGGCAAAAAATGTCTCAAAAATGCTGGGCATGGTGGCACACACCTATAATCCCGGCGGCTCAGGAAGCTGAGGCAGGAGGATTGCAAGTTCAAAGCCAGCCTCAACAACTTATTTAACAAGGCCCTAAGCAATTTGGCAAGACCCTGTTTCAAAATAAAAAACAAAAAGGCTGGAGCTGTGGCCCAATGGTAAAGTACCCCTGGCTTAAATCCGCAATTCCAAAAAGCAGAAACAGGATGTAGCTCAGCGGTAGAGCATCCCTGAGCTCATTTCTAGTACACAAGTACCTAGTGCCCAAGGGAAGGGAAAATATAGGAGGGGGAATCTATGATCAAATATGTTGGGTACACCATGTCACGCAAAGTTCAATGCTTTTTTTTTTTTTTTGCAGTACTTCTTAGAATATTAAATATGTATCCCTGCCCCCAGCCGCCCAGTACACTGGGGATTGAACCCAGGGCCTTACACATACTAGACAAGAGTCCTACCATTGAGTTACACACCCAGCCCTTTTTATTTTTTAAATTTTGAGACAAGGTCTCACTAAGTTGCTGAAGCTGGCTTTGAACTTGCAATCCTCCTGCCTCAGCCTCCTGAGTTGCTGGGATTACAGGCGTGATCAACATGTAGCTTTTTTTTTTTTTTTTACTATTTATTTTTTAGTTGTAGTTGGACACAATACCTTTATTACACTTATTTATTTTTATGTGGTGCTGAGGATCCAACCCAGGGTCCCGCACATGTGAGGCGAGCACTCTACCGCTGAGCCACAACCCCAGCCCCAACATGTAGCTTTTAATCTTCTCTAATAGCTGGACTCACAACCTCCAAGGTCCCTTCCAAACTAGAGATTCTCCTCATCTTGTCATCATCCTCACAGCCCATGATGTTGAACATTTGATACGTTCCAGACACCATGCCAGTAAGCTCACTGTATCTTTGTAACAACACTGAATTTTACTTATTTACTTATTTAGTGTTACTAGGGATTGAACCCCTGGACACTTTATCACCAAACTACATCCCCAGCCCTTTTATTTTTTTATTTTGACAGAGTCTCACTAAGTTACTGAGGCTGGCCTCAAACTTGCCATCCTCCTGCCTCAACCTCCCACATCACTGGGGTTATGGGCATGTACCATCCTGCCCAGCTCCAAACTATATTTTATAAATAAGGAAACTGAGGTACAGAGAAGTCATGTGACTCATCTGAAGTCACACAAGAGGCTTAGAAAAAGCAGGGTGCCTGTTCCCCAGGGTCCTTGACACTATTGTGCTTGCTACCATTAGTCACTCCATGGAGGGTGTTTCGTGTCTATGATACTTAGATGACCCCAAATGCCCAAGTGCTACCTCCAGTGGCCAGTCAGAGACCACAAAGGTGCCGCCAACCCCTGTAAAGTCCAAGGAAAGGAGGAGATGGCTCTGGATTCTGATCCTCTGTGCCCCTCTGTGAGTGGCAGGCTCTCCCTTGACCTTGTCACATATCTACCAGGAGCTCAAGAGCACAGACATGAAATACCGGAACCGCGTGCGCAGCCGCATCAGCAACCTTAAGGACCCCAGGAACCCTGGCTTGAGGCGGAATGTGCTCAGCGGGGCCATTTCCGCTGGACTCATAGCCAAGATGACAGCAGAGGTAAGGACCGCAGGGCCTCTGGGTGGGAGTGTGGGAGGCCGGGCCCCTCCACTGTGCCCAAGGCCCTTTTCCCACCAGAATCATCTCAGCCACCCACAGGGCCTCGAGAACCATCAAGATGATGAACACAGGCAACTTGTATGAAGTGCTGTGTAAGCACATGGACCACGGCAATAAGATAGAAATGTGTCGTCCCCATGTTACAGATGAGGACACTGAGGTCAGCCAATTTTCTGCTGCACGCAGCTAGAAAGCGTTGAAGCCAGGAGGCAGCTGTCTGGCCCCAGGGCACCCACCTTTCTCTGCTTCTCTCTCTTGTTCAGTCCTGTATCCCAGTTCCCAGTACCCAGGGCCCTGGCCAGGATAGGAGTCCAAGGTGAGGAGTCAGATGTTAAGTTATAATACCGAGTGGTAAATAATGCCACTGTGGGAACTTACAGGAGGGGAGGACTGACCCAGCCTAGAGGGGTCAGTAGGGGAGAGACCATTTGAGAAGTGATAGTGCAGTCCTCAGAAGCCCTGAACGGTGTCAGCCTTTGAATTCCGATTCTGCCACTTACCTGTGTGACCTTGGATGAACTATTTAACCTCTGTGCTCAGTTTTTCCCTCTAAAAAATGAGGATGAGAATCAGAACTGCTTTCTTTTGAAGGATTAAATGGTTAATATATGTGAAGTAACAGATGTGTGATACAGGAGAAGATGAACCCAGAGCTTTCTGGGCCTCAAGGCAGGCTCCCATCAGGGTCAGTACATGATGGGCTCCTTCACCTATCATTTCCTGTAACCCCTTCTCACGGTGTTGTACAGGAGGAAATATCCCCATTTTGTTGAGAAGAAAACTGAGGCTAGTTAGTGATAGATGAGTATTTGATCCTAGGTCTGCTTATTTCAGAGCCCACATCTTGGAAAGACACCTTTTGCCACCCTCAGGCGTGACGGCTCTCTCCTGCCAGAGCTCACAGGGGATCCCTGCCAGTAGCCAGAAATTGGAGAGTTAGCCGAGCGCAGTGGTGCACACCTGTAATCCTAGTGGCTTGGGAGGCTGAGGCAGGAGGATTTTAAGTTCAAAGCCAGCCTCGGCAACTAGCAAGGCCTTAAGCCACTCAGTGAGACCCTGTCTCTAAATAAAATATAAAAAAGGAATGGGGATGTGGCTCAGTGGTCAAGTGCCTCTGAGTTCAATCCCTGGTACCCCGCAACACACACCAAAATTGGAGAATTGAAGTGACCCCGAGAAAGAGTGAAAGTGTTAGGTCCCTGGATCCTGGGTGGGCCTCAGGGTGTCTGGGAACCCACTGATCACTGTGACCTGTGTGTAGTGAGTGGTGTGGCACACGTGTTGTGTGTGTGCTGTGTGTGCTATGTGGAGTCTGTGTAGTATGTGTGTGACGTGCAGGGTGTGTTTGGTGTTTGGCGTGCATGTGGTGTGATGAGTGTGTGTGTCACAGTGTGTGTATATCTACATTTCGGGGAGAGGGCTCACTGCCTTCCTCAAATACCCAAACAACAAAGAGCTCTTGCTCTAAGGTAAAGTGGGAACTTGGCAAATGTGCACCAGGTTACCTTTCTACTTAATTTAAAATATCTGATCTTTTTTGACAAATGGAAGTGGATGTCCATAATTGCAAATTGCAAGTCAGCTTACCAGTATCTTAGTTCAGGTTGCTGTAACAAAAATCCCCCCGTCGGGCAACCGATGCATGACAGACCCATTCAGTGCTGAGTGCTGAAAGTCCAAAATCAGGGTGCTGGCAGATTCCATCTGCTGAGGGTGAGGGCCTCATTCCTTACAGACAGCTCTCTCATGGGACCACCTCACCTGGCGGGAAGAGTGAGCGTCTCTGGCCTCTTTATAAAAGTAATCCCACAGCCCTCCAGACCCAATCTCCTCCCAAGGACCCTACATCCAAATCCCATCACTTTAGGGGTTAGAATCTCAGCATTGGAATACCTGGGAGTTTCCTCCTGGGTCACCTCTTGCCCCAAGAAAGAAGTTTCTATAAGAAATACAAGACAGGGCTGGGGACGTGGCTCAGTGGTAGAGCACCCCTGGGTTAAATCTCTAGTTCTGGAGGAGAAAAAAATGTGTTGGGCAGATCCTTACTGAATTCACCTTCGGGGCTCTTCTCTGCCAGCACATGAAGGTCCAGCATCCTCTCCTGCTCTTATCTGCTGAGTTGAGCGCCTGTTTTCTACATCGGTGTGCTCATTCCTCGAGTGTTTGTGTTCTGGTGGAGCAGGGGGTGGAAGCCAGAGCCTGGCGCATGCTCAGCAAGCGCTCTACCACTGACTGGCTGATTCCATGTGACCCTGAGAGTGGTCAATGGGTTGGCGGGTGGGTGGGTAGTTTTTCCTGTTCTCTGTTAGCAGGCACTTAACACCCTCCTTCCAGGATCTAGCCTCCCGCCATGTTTCCCACGCTCCTCAACTTGAAGCCACCCCACATACCCGTCCCCAAACACGCTGTCCTGGTCTTCTGCTCTTTCGTGTCTGCTGTTCTTTGTGTCTGCAATGTGCCGTCTCCTGGAAATCCATCTGTGGAGACTGGCTAAGGTCATCAGCATCTTTTTGACCATCCCTTCCCAGGCACTTCCCAGGCACCAGCCCTTCCCAAGGGAGGTGAGCTTCCGGCACCGGCACACCTCTGCTCTGGACTCCCTTCCCTCTCTGGTTATGGGGCAGGGACCAAAGCTTCCAGTCTGGAGCCTGGCAGCCGGGGGGCTGTGGTGTGCCCAGCCAGCTACTGTCAGCTCCAGAGCTAAGTATGTGCAGCACTCAGTTACATCACTGTAGTGGCTTGACATTAACTGGTGCCTGGCGCAACTGCACACACCTGTAATCCCAACAGCGTGGGAGGCCGAGGCAGGAGGATCACAAGTTCAAAGCCAGCCTCAGCAACTTAGCGAGGCCCTAAGCAAATCAGCGAGGCCATGTCTCCAAATAGAATATAAAAAAGGGCTGGGGATGTGGCTCAGTGGTTCAGTGCCCCTGAGTTCAGTTCCCAGGACAAAAAAAGAAAGAAAGAAAAGAAGTTGACCACCTTGGGAATATTTACACCAGGTAAATTGACAGGTGCTTCCAAGGAATCAGGCACTCCCATCGCCAAAGCCCACTTATCAGCACACCAGTTAAAGGCATTCAGTAAATCGGCATCTGATAAATTTCAAATGGCTGACTGCATTACACTCTGGAAAATTCCCCCAAATTAAAGGCAGCAGCTTTTAGCTTCTGTGACCCTGGGTTGACTTATCTTTCTCTTATTAGTGTTCCTGTGAGGGGTGAGGCCCTCACTTACGAATTTAACACAACAGGGCTTAAACATTAGTGTGCACCGGAACAACTTGGGGACACTGGTTTAAAAAAAAATGTATGTTCCTGGGTCTGCTCTTGGCATTTCAGAGTCAGGAATATGCAGTTGACCAAGAAGCCTGAGTGGTTACAACGCAGGGTCAACACACTGAAACCATTTGACCTTTATGTCGAGTCTGTTCCCTGCGGAAGCCTGACAGGCGGCAACAATTGAAGTGGCCGGCCAACACCACATCCTCGCTTCCTCGGCTTCAGCGTGTTCCTTTCCCACACAGCTCCTAGCTGGCGCTGCCTCCAGCTGAGCATGCCCTTCTCTCCTCTCCTGTGGCAGGGGCTTAAAGGGAATCCAGTAGCCAGGGGACGGGAAGGGAAGGGAAGGGTCTGGGTAATGCAGACCCTGCGAGTCCACGGCGGGTGCTGTGAGAGGGGATTCCTGCGAGCAGCACAGGTGAGCACTTAGCTCACCTGTGAGCGCAGACGCCTCAGGGTTCTGCTGAGGGCGGGGATGGTGGCAGCAAGTCGTGGATAGCTGGGCCACAGCTCCCAGAGAGGCAGGACGCACCGGGCAGTGCTCATAGCTGGAACAGGCTCTGGGTCAAGTCTAGACTGGAAGGGTTAGGGGACACAGGACATATAGATCAGATGGGCAGTGGTTCAATCCAGGCCAAGGTCCTGGCAGGCAGGGGGAGGGCCAGGCCTGGTGGAATGAACCCAGCACTAATCCCAGGCACAGGCTGTTTGCCTGCTATCCTCCCGTACACGCCCAGCTGACCTTGGCCCAGCCAGAGTCCCCAGGTTTGACCTTGCAGCCAGAGATGGAATGGGAATGGGGACGCCTCAGGTCCAGCATTTTCCCAGCTGGGGAGGACCAGAAAGCCAGGCCTCCCGCTAGCTCCTCGTACTCCATCCAGCATGCTCCCTCCTCTGTTCAGATGCTCTAGAAAGCAGCGGGGGGCGAGGATCTAGCTCAGGTGGTAAAGTACTTGCATGCACAAGGCCCTGGGTTCAATCCCCAGCACCACCAAGCAGGTGTGGGGCCGTCAGCCCTCACGGACAGGCTCATTTCTCTCCAGGAAATGGCCAGTGACGAGCTGAAGGAGTTGAGGAACGCCATGACCCAGGAGGCCATCCGGGAGCACCAGATGGCCAAGACCGGCGGCACCACCACCGATCTCTTCCAGTGCAGCAAATGCAAGAAGAAGAACTGCACCTATAACCAGGTACCGGTGCTGCAGGCTGGGCCTGCGGAGGAGGAGCCAGGGACGGTGGAGGTGGTGAGCCAGAGAGATGCTTCAGAAGGAGCCCGGGGAGAAAGGGCTGAGGTTCTCCAGGCTGCAGAGACAAGGGCCAGGCTTGGGATACCACAGTGGTGCTTCTGCGGCTTCTAGAACATTTTCTGGCTGTAGAACAGCTGGCTGTGTGATGGGGAGGTGGGACCAGTGTTTTTTGGCCTGCCCTGAGGTAAGAATGAGAAGAGCCAGACACACAGGGGACCACCCCCGAGAGTCACTGATGGCCGGAAGGGAACTGAGCCGTGTGGAGCCAGCTTCTTCGTTATAACCAGGGAAACTAAGGCCCCCAGGGCCTCCAAGCCCCTTTACTTCTCCAGGCCTCCGTCCTTCCATTGGTAAATTAAAGATGAACGAGGTGATTTCTAAAGTGCTCCCGGCTCACTCCCGCGCTGGTGGGCTGGGCACGTCTGTGTTCGGGGTGAGGCCTGCATGCTGCCTGTGGGAGGCAACAGCAGAGCGATCAGTTTGGAAAGATCAACCCAAGTGCAAGTGGAAGGCCAGGCTGAGCCGTTGAGGTGCTGGGGGCGACTCATGGACGGCCCGGGGAGAGGGAGGTATAAGTTAGGGAATTGCCAAAGTGGGGCAGGAATATCAGTGCCAACCCCTGGGATCTGGACCTACTAGACAGGGGAAGCCATAGCAGGTTCTAGATCAGCAGAGCGACTTCACGGCTGGCTCTCTCTCAGGTGCAAACGCGCAGTGCCGACGAGCCCATGACCACCTTCGTCCTGTGCAATGAATGCGGGAATCGCTGGAAGGTCTGTAGTCTGTCTGTCTCCCTCTCTCATCACCCAGAGACCCGCCCAAAATAAGAAGAACTATCCCCACCTCCCAGAAGGGCCTCATGCCTGGGGCTTTGCCAGCCCACACAGAGTAGGCCTGCAGAGCCAGGCAGAGTGGCAGGTTGCTTGGGGCAGCGGGGAGAGAGAGCACATGCATGTGTTAGTTCTGGAAGGGCGCCCAGCTGGGGTGGGAGCAGCATCCTCCATTTTATTGATGGGTGGGCAAGTCTGTCTTTGGCACACAGATGGAATCCGCTTCCTGAGGCGCACGGAGGGGAGGGGAGACAATAGCCCCTGCCCTGGGACCGCACCTCTTTGCAAAGTGCTTTCACAGATGGTGGTTCCTCTGACCTGCTGCTGCTGAGCCCTGTGGGGGTGCATGGGGGGAGAGCTCCCCGGGCCTGCTGTGCATCCTCTCCTCCGAGGTCGTTCTGGAGGTTTCCCAAGGCTGGGGCCCCAGGCTGCCCCGCTCCCACAGAGGCAGAGGCTTTGTTCTGAGCCAAGAAGAGACTCCTCCCCGAGTGCTCCTCCCCACCAAGCCTTCTCCTGAGGGAACTGGGTGTGGTCACGTGGTTGTGCCAGTGTCCAGTCCATCTGATTTATCTCAGTTGTTTGTGCGCTGGGTGACCTCTGGGCCATCAGGCAGGTCATGGGGCTCCAACAGTTCTAAGATGCTTAGCAAGGGGCCCAAAGCTGTGATTGGGAGCCAGGAGCCCTGGCTTCATGTCCCATTCCTCCCTCCTTGCTGTGTGACCCTGAACATGTCACTTGCCTCTCTGAGCTGAAGGGTGGCGAGAATACCTTTATCCAAGGGTTGATGTGAGGATGAATACATATGCACACAGACTCTGCAAACAGTAAGAAATGGTGACAGTCTCACTTTCAGAGGAGGAAACAGAGCCAGAGAAAGAGTTAAAATCCAGAGTTCAGAGCTCTGAAGACCAAGGCTTCCAGTTCCTGATCAATTGATTTTCTGATAGAGGGCCGGCCTCCACAGCCTCACTAGGGCCTCTGTAGAATTGCCATATGGTTTCAGGTGAAGGCCAGATGGTTGTGCCTGTTTCCTTTATTTACTTTTCGAGCACTCATGGGTGGGTCTGTGCAGTGGTCTAGTGGTTTAGAGCAGGGACTTTGGCACCAGGCTCAGATCCTGGCTTTACTACTTACAGAATGGCCTAGCTCACGGCTCCTGCTCTCCAGGCCTGGATTTCCTCATCTGTAACATGGGGGTCGTAATATCCAGCCCACGGTGCCGTTCTGCAGATGACATGTGTAAGGCATTACGGGCCTCACGGGGTCTCTGGCTGCTCTCTGGCATATTTGTCAAATTAAAAAACAGATGGCTCTGCGGGGAATAGTGTGCACACCTGCAGTCCCAGCACAGGATTATAAGTCCAGGCCAGCCTCGTAATTTAGCAAGACTGTGTTTCAAAATAAAAAGGGCTGGGGATAGGGATGTAGGTCCATGGGAGAATGTCCCTAGGTTCAATCTCCAGTACTGCGGCAGTGTGTGTGTGTTGGGGGAATAGCCCTGTCCCAGGGTACACAACAATCAGAGTGTGGGCTGTTTCAGCCTCAGCTTACCCCTTAGTCTAGGCACTTTGTGCAGTCAACAACTTGCACAACCACACCAAAAAAAGCCCTGAACACATATGTAAAAACCACTCTGAGTGCCATTTTGATGGTGTCATCTAGTATTCTGGGATGTGGGGTAAGTCATTTAATGCTGCTTGCTTACCTATACAGATTGGAGTAACACTAGTATCAACCTCATGGAAAATGTGAGGTTGAAATGAGTTAAACATAAACACTACGACCCCACCCAGAGTAAGTGCTCAGTAAGGGACTGACGCCACTAGGGGAAGGTGTCCTGCATGCCACAAACCCAGCACCTCCTCCCTGACTCCTATTGAGAGTCAGGACCCATTAGAGGTGGCAGCCATGTAGCTTCTGACAACATTTTCAGTTATTTCCATTGCTATGGGGGAGACTAAGCCCACCCAAGGCATCAGTGACAATCACAGTGTGTTCTCAGCCATTAATCAGGAAGCTGCAGTGTGCCTGCCGGACGTGGAAGAGCCACTCACTTCTTACCTGACCTCGTTCTCCCACTGGCCAGCGTATGATCCCATTTTACAGATGAGTGATTTGCTCAAGGTCACACAGCGAATAACAGCTGAGCGGGGCTTGGGATCCTGGCCTGTGGCTCCAGACCCCACCTTCTTCCTCATGTCCCCGAATGCCCTCCCTGGAAGACACAGGAACCTCTCCGATTCTGTTGCTTTTTTGGTTTTGTAGTTCTGCTGACAGGACCGCCAGCCAGGACCGCAGCATCCAAGGGCAAGGAACAGAGAGGGCGAGCTGAGCCACCGAACTGGAGAAAAATAAAAGTTAAAATGAAGAAAAATACTGAACTCTGAATGAGATAGTAGGGATCAGAGGGAGAATTCTTACACAAACTGGTGATCAGTTATTAATAATAAATGGATAACGGGGGAGCCTAGTTGGGGTTCAGTGCTGAGAATCTGTGGACAGACCTCCTGTGCCAAGCCGGAGCCTCAGAACTGAGGGGTCGTGTCTCTCACAGTGGGCAGCAGACCTTTGCTTTCACCCTTCCCCGCCCCCGTCTGAATCACAGCCTTTTTTGGATTGAAAAATACCAGAGGAGGCCGAATGGGGTGGCACATGCCTATCATCCCAGCAACTTGGGAGGCCAAGACAGGAGGATCGTGAGTTTGAGGCCAGCCTCAGCAATTTGGTGAGGCTCTGTTTCAAAATAAAAAATAAAAAGGCTGGGGGTGTAGCTAGGTGTTAGAGCACCCCTGGGTTCAATCCCCAGTACCACAGAAAAACAAAAACAAATAAAAAACAGATCAACATGAATGCTCCCCCACCCCAGAGCCACACTTGGGGCGTAGCCAACCCGTGGTTTGACTCAGGGAGATATGACTCCCACACCAGGCAGGAGCATCTCGACTCCCTCTCCTCTCTTCCCAAACTCCCTGCTATTCCCTGTTCACAGCTGGTTATAGGGGACCTTTGAGGACCCCAGACCAGGTCCCTCTAGGTGGAGAACGGCTCCTCTAGAGGCAGTGCCCGGACTTTCACAATCCTTGGAGGCCCTGAGCCTTGGAACCTGCCCAGGCCCTAGCACTGTGCTCCACCCGGCTCCATCTGTGGCCCCAACTTCAGAGGAAGTCAGCAGACCCCAGGGGCCTTGTCATGCTTCTCCCTTGAGGACATCAGCTTGCTTCTCATGCTGATAAGAACTCTAGGCAAAGCTGGAAACTTCTGGAAAAGTCCTTGGGAGCAGATCTGTTGTTGAGCCTTATGGGTCTCAGTCTCTGTCCCTGGCCTTCCATCAGCCCCAGGCTGAGCTGCCTTTACCTAAAATGGACAATGTGCTTGAGCCCATGTACTCCGGGGAGCTTGGGCAAGTCACTTACCCTCTCTGAACCGCTTCCTTACCTCTAAAAATGGAAGTAGTACTGCTGCTGCCCCCTCGGGTGACATGTGGAGGTCGCTGGGTGCACCCTGCTCTGCCTTGGTTCACCCTGGGGTGAACCGTAACAATAGCCCGAGCTCCTCATCTCCCCGGGCATCGTCCCCTCTGCCACTGGTGACGTCCTCTTCTTCTGCCCGTCATGGGATTCTCCTGAAGATGAAGCCCGTGAAGAGACTGTTCAGAAATCTGCCATCATCTCCGGCTTTTCAACAGTTAGAGCTGCAGGGGGCCGGTGGAAAGGCCGGGTTCCCTCCCAGAAAAGTCAACACCCACCGCTCCTACAGGCAGAACAGGACTGAGACCCAGGTCTTCTGTTCCCTGTTGTTGTGTTTGTCACTGAGACATCTAGAGCTGGACACAGTGCTCAGCCTTGCCTTCCAGAAATTCATGGACTGATGGGGAAAGAAACCATAGACTTCCACACTAGATGGGATGTGACAGGCCATATCTGAGGTGCAAATATTGTCTGCAGAAATGCAGAGGGTGCTGCTTAGAGACCCAGGTGCTCCGTGAACTTTGATATTAGAGGGAACTCCTGGGAATTATGCTAAAATACAGATTTTGATTCAGTGCATCTGTGATGGAGCGAGATTTTTCACTCCCCACAGGCTCCCAGGTGATACTGATATTGCTGACCATGGGCTGCACCCTGAGTAGGAAAGGCTTGAATATCTAACTTTTGTTTGCATTGTCTAAACCTCCATCTGAATGTTTAGAAACCAACAGTAGAGCCAGGCATGGTGGCACACGCCTATAATCCCAGCAGCTCAGGAGGCTGAGGCAGGAGGATCACAAGTTCAAAGCCATCTCAGCAACTTAGGGGGCCCTGTCTCAAAATAAAAAATAAACAAGGCTGGGGATGTGGCTCAGTGGATAAGCAACCCTGGGTCCAATGCCTGGTACAAAAAAAAAAAAAAGAAGAAGAAGAAGAAACCAACAGCAACATAATAAAATAGCAGCCACTATCAATTAAGTGTCAATAAAGGTTTCTTTGGGGTGATTTTTTAAAGGTGGTGCCCTGGGGCAATTTTCTTTAGTCACAGTCTAATCTCCACTGTGTTCCCAGTATCGTGGGGACTTAAGCGTAGAGTGAGGGGGGGCAACTATGAATCCACCCTCCAATAACCTGCTTACAAAGGCAAAGTGCCAGATTATACAGCAAGAGAACAAACTGGCTCAAGTCCACACATCTGCTGGTCCTCGTGTAGGTTCACAAAAGGATGCAGGAAAGCATGAACAGGCCAGACTGTGTCCATCAGCGAGTGTCCACCCCAGTGGCCTTCCTGTGTCTTCCGTGGATATTCTGCCCATGTCCTCCACTGTGCAGAACAAGACTCAGGGTTGGTTTGTTTGTTTGTTTTTGTACCAGGGATTGAGCCCAGGGGCACTTAACCACTGAGCCACATCCCCAGCCCTTTTTTAAAATATTTTATTTAGAGACAGGGTCTCACTGAGTTGCTTAAGGCCTTGTTAGTTGCTGAGGCTGGCTTTGAACTCACCATCCTCCTGCCTCAGCCTCCCGAGCCACTGGGATTATAGGCGTGTGCTTCTGCACCCAGCTCCAGAATCAGCTTTTCAAAGTTGCCCATCGTGTGGTGTTGAGTTCCCTGTTCTGCCTGCCATTTAGAAGCTTCCATTTCCCCACTGTTCTTGGCAGGGCCGGCCTCTGCCTCACCCCCGCACTTTGAGCTTCAGCCACACTGGCCTCTCCCAGTTCTCCGTGGCGTGCTGTGCTCCTCCTGGGCACAGAGGCTTTCCACAGGCTCTTGGCTGGCACAAAGGGTTTAACCCCGTCTTCTCCATCTCAGAGATGAAGGGTGTGAGCTGTAGCAGCTCAGCTCTAACCTCTACACCCAGGAAAGCTTCAGGGGAAGGGGAGAGTGTTCCCTTGTAGGAGGAAAAGGACGAGGGTTAGATGAGGTGAAACCCAGGCAACATGCTTGGAATGGAGGAGAGAAGTCCCTACAGGGACATTCTGGCCAAAAAAACCTGAGAGCAAAAAAGCCCATACAAGATCCCGTGACGCAATTTAAAAGATATTTTCCAAGGGTGACGGGAATGTGAAACACTGTACAGAAGCCTCCCTTAGTAACCTCTCCCAGACTATGGAACCTGTCTCTAGGCCCCATTTTCCTTCAGTTCAAGGCTTATGTTACCAGGTGCCTGTTAGGATTCTCCTCCCAAGTAGACCCTCTGAGTGATCTGAGAAGTCAGATCACTTCTAGTGATCTGAGAAGATGCCCTCACATCTTCCCTTCCCAGGTCCCTTCTGCTTTCTTTTCTGTCAACTAGTTCAGTCCTTGAACCACCTGGGGCCTTTCCCTGCCCCTTCACCTCATCAGCTACCAGTTCCACAGCGTCTCCCCATCCCACCCTTCCCACCACTGCCAGCACCGTGGACGTGGCCTTTCAGCTTTTCTTTTCTGGGACTGGTGTGAAGGCTCCTTATTGGGCTCCCAACTGGCGCCACCCCTCCCTGTCCCGACTGCATGTACCTGCATGGCTGTGAGCCTCCCTCTCCTAGTCATCTGCAGAATATCGCCCTTGGTGAGCCAATCAAATTCAGATTTCTTGGTTTGATTTACAAAGCTCCCTCCTTCTGTCCTCTGTGTTTTGCTTTTTGTTTTGTTGTTTTTGAGGGACCCGGAAGCTTTTACTTCTTTCTCTGCCTGAGGACCCTCACCCTCTGCATGTCTTTGGTGGCTTATCTTCTACCCCTGCTGACCCTGGTGCTACAGCTCATGGGAGATACTAGCTCATGATACATCATGGTAAATGTATTTTGACATATATATACATGGAGTACAACTTGCCATTCCGGTTGTGCATGATGGGAAATAACATTGGTATTCTTGAATACCCAATAGACCTTCCCACCTACCACCATCTGGTCTGCTTCCTTCTCACCCTGGTTCAAACCTTACCCATTCCTCAAGGCCCACCTTGGATGCGCATCTTGTATGAAGCCTCTGATCCCCTGGCAACATAAGACAGTGCCCCAGGACTTCTATAGCTCTGTGAAACTTGTCACCCCTGAGTCTATCATGATTCTAGCTCCTTCTCTCATTGCATTCTACCATCATGATGATGTTCTTTTAATACTTCTTTGTCTGACAGTGTCAGTAATATCTATTGAGTATTGACTCTCTGGGTGTCTTGCACACACCATGCAACTTCTCCCAACTTCCAGTTTTCATCTATAAAATAGTGATAATAACCACCGCTAGCTCCAAGGGTTGTTTTGAGGATTCATTAAGTTAACACAAGGAAGGCACTGAGAATCCTGCCCCATACAACAACCAACCAGTAAATACCTACTAGGTAATTATTATTAGGCATATAGGAGAGCATGTCATGTTGTCTGACCTAACATCTGGCCCCAAGTCACTATTATTATACTGTTTTTGAAAATTATACATCCCAGCTACTCAGAAGGCTGAGGTGGGAGGATCACCTGAGCCCAGGAGTCCAAGACCAGCATACCAAGATCTCCTCTCTAAACAAACTTTTTTTTAAAAGAGAAAGAGAGAATATTTTAATATTTATTTTTTAGTTTTCAGTGGACACAACATCTTTTTTTTTTTTTTTAATGTGGTGCTGAGGATCGAACCCAGTGCCCCGCTCATGCCAGGTGAGTGTGCTACCCAGCCCACATAAACCGTCTTAACCATTTTTAAGCATACAGTTCAGTACGCTACACTCACACTGTTAAGCAACCGATCTCCCAAAATTTTCTTCTTGCAAAACAAACTATTAAGCAGCTCCTCATTTCCCCCTCCTCCAACCTCTAGCAACTGCTGTTATACTTTCTGCCTTACAAATGTGGATTGCTATACTCTTTACAGGCTGAGGGACCCCAGGTTTGGAGAGAAATCTGTTCTAAGGAGACAGAGCCCAGATTTGAGCCCAGGCCCCGTTACACTCTGAGCCAGTGTGAGATGTGGCTTCACTTCAGCCAGTATCCATGGCAGGTTTTACCTCCCCAACGATGATGGCCATTGTGGGCCAGCGCTCTCCTCTGCCATTCTCACATTTACTCCCATGTCAGCTCTGCAGTCATGGTTGTGGGGTGGTGTCCAATTTTCAAGTTCGGTGCCTGGTACAGAGGAGGACTCAATAATATGGGCCCATGTGATGTCTTTAAATAGGCTAGACAATACCAAATAAACTGGTTGTACATTTTTAATTGTCTACTATTTGTTTTTTGTTGGTACTGGGAATTGAACCCAGGGGCACTTTACCAATGAGTGTTTTTATTTTTTTGAGATCTTACTAAGTTGCCAAGTGTCTTGTTACATTGCTGAGGCTGGCCTTGAACTTTCGATCCTCCAGCCTCAGTCTTCAAGTTGCTCGGGCTACAGACTCCAGGTTAGCAATTGTAAACACTTTTTGAAAATGTTCTCACTGAAAAAAACCAACAGATGGGGCTGGGGATGTGGCTCAAGCGGTAGCGCGCTCGCCTGGCATGCAGGGGGTGCTGGGTTCGATCCTCAGCACCACATACAAACAAAGATGTTGTGTCCACTGAAAACTAAAACATATAAAAATTAAAAAAATATTTAAAAATTCTCTAAAACAAAACAAAACAAAACAAAAAAAACCCAGAAATGTCTGATGTCAGAAAGCCTCCCCGTCCTCTGCAGTCTGCCCTCCTCCCACAGAGTCAATCTGCTCTTCCCACCCCAGGCCAGTCCCCAGGCCACCCCACATCTGTGTCTCATCACCAGCTTTGCTGATCCATAGCCAAGGGCAGCGACAGGCAGGCAAGGGGACGCAAGACACCAAGACACCGTCCCTGCTCTGCTTGCTTCCCCTGCTGCCATACCAGCACACTCTTCCCTCTAGCCATAACCTATCCTGGCCATTCTGTCCTTCACGCCTCCGCCTCCGGGGCCTTTGCACATGCTGTTCTTGAAGCCTGGAATGCTTGTCCTCAGACCTTCTCCACCTCCCAGAAACACCTACAGTCTTTGCAAAGCCAGCTCAGATGTCACCTCCTCTGGGAAGCTCCCTCCCCTCCCCCAACTAGTAGTCTTCCCTGTCTGGGTATAGACTAGCTCACTCCTTGTGATAGCACTTGGAATGCAGGGACTGTCATTGTGTCCCCTCTGACCCGACTCCTTGTGGAATCCAGAGAAGCCCAGGTCACTTCTATTTTTTGATGTTCCTTATTTGAGAACAGAAATGACAAAATAGGAACACAAACATTGAGGCATGTTTTTAAATATTTAACAATACTTCTGATACCAAAAAATTATAACACAGTTGTGCTGCTCACAAGATAACAAAGATTTATTAACGTGATAATTCACAGTGCACCACAGATGCAGTGGTCTGGTAGAAGGGCACAAGTTTAAGGACATACTTGGAGGGTCTTTGATCAAAGCAAACAGTGGATCCAATGTAATGCAAAACCTCACTTGAAGATAATGTTGAAAACCTAAGTTGAGGATTCTGGCCAGATGGCTCTCCTGGCCCCTTTCCCCAGTGATAAGCTGTACTGCTGCCTTTGCACACAGTAGGGGCTCATCCTCTGCTAAATGATGGGAACAAATATGGCTTTCCAAGTGATTATTGGAAACCCCAGATATAGTAAGTGTTCCTGAGAAACACTGAAGTCCTCAACAATGGGGCAGGAAGCCGCCTCCTCCTCCAGTGACCCCATCCCTCAGATTCCAGCTGATGGCTGCAACAGGAAGCCCTCCACCGGGTCTTTCCTCCCTCCCCCTCTTCCCCATGCCCCCCTAGGGGCTCCAGATGCAGTCTTGCTTTCCATCCACTGGCAGCCTCTCTCCTCCTCCACCCTCTGGAGGGTCCCAGGTGAAGACAGAAAAAAAGCTCTTACTCAGAAGGAGGCGGGAAGCCAAGCTGGGCTCCAGGCAGTCCTGAGGAATAAAAGAAACAGCAAGAGGACAAAGAAGGGCTTAAAGCACTGGAGCAAAGGGACGGTGGGGGGTAGGGAGGCTAAGAAAGTTTACAAAGCAATCTGCCAAAGAATGGATGAAAAGGGAGCCCTGCTGGGCTGAGAGACTCAGGCCCTCCCTCACCTTAGGCCCAGTTAGAAACCTGCAATTTCTCAGCCAAAGCCTGCACCTCTCCCTGCTCCTCCCATTCCTTGGAGTCTGGTTAACAACCCCTGACCTAGAAGTTTCCCTGAGGGTGAGGGCCAAGCTTGCTGGGTCTGTGACAGTTGGCAGCCTTGCTCACAGAGCATCCGCTTGAACCCACCACTGGCCCAACTTCCAGGCTGAATTTCCAGCAGGAAAACAATGTGAGGAGAAAGCCAGATGCTCACAACCATGAGCCACTCTTAATTTCCCAGACTTTCAAGGCCACTGAATACACTCATGGGCCTTTATGGAAATCTTCTCTGTCACCAAAGGTTGAAATAATAATCACAGCTATCACCTGAGTGACCTGTGTGGATCTAAGTCATCTCAGTCCTCACGACTCCCCCCGTATGACTATTCCCATTTTACCAAAAAAGAAATGAGCTGGGCAGAGTAAATGACTTCCTGATATGCAGCCTGGAATCCAACCCAGACCTGTCTGACCTTGATGCCCACACTCTAGGGATGCTGTCTCTTGGGAACCCCCCAGGATGCCAACTTCTTTGGTGTCCAGATCTAAAATTTTAGGTGGGACAGGATGGTACAATTCTGTGGTATTTAAACAACCCCTAACCCCACAGTTGGAGGTTGGAAGAGGAGTAGGAGTGGGAGATGCTGCATTATGCCTGGATAGGGTCCTAATAGTTCTTTTTAGACACTTGAGTAATTTAACCATAAATAACTGGGCACCGGGAACAGGACACTCAGTAATAAAAGCATGGCCTGGAGTCATGTTTAAAAAAAAAAAAAAATTCAAGGCCCTCAGTGGGTGGATGTATCTGCAAAACAAAAGAAAAGCCCCTTTCCCAGCCCAGGCAGAGAAGTCTCCTGTACAGTTAGAGACAACAGGCTTCCGGGCACGTAGCCAAGGTTCTGGGGATATTTATAACTTGAAGAGGGTGGGAGTCCCTAATAAGCTGCTATATTCTTTTTCCATCACTTCCCTCTCCAAGGCTACAGAGAGCTCGGAGCTCTTCCCCATGCAGAATGCCTGCTTTGCCTAGTGCTCGACTTCCATTGTCTAATTCCCTCATCCTGGCTGGGGGGGAAAGGGAAGACTGCAAGTCCTTCCGTTCGGAGGAGCTCCAGCTGAACGCAGCTTAGCTGCCAGTGGGGTTGCTTGGCCGGTTGTCTTGGCCTCGGAGATCTGCCTATGAGCCTGTGGTTTCGCGGAGGTCTTCGGGATCAGCCAATGATTCCTGGGCTTTGCCTGCAAGTCTACGGATTCGGGGTCGGTCTGTGGGTCTGGTCTCCGGAATCTACCAGCGATCCCCAGAATCTTTCAGCACATCAGAGGTCGGAGAAAACTCTGCGGCTTTGGTATGTTTGAGGCCTCTCGGATCTTGACGCCGGCGATCTAGTGGATATCTGGCAGGCCGGGAGGTAAGTCTGTTGGTCCCCAACTCGGGTTTGCTGTTTCCTACCTTCACAATGACTGCTGGCATCCTGAGGACCCGCTGGGCTCAAGCTCTCAGAGGCCCAGGGTCCCCTCGGTGAGCGAGGCTTCCAGAAACCCTTTCAGCAGACAAACCCTCCAGGATGATAAGGACCGCCCGCCCTCGCCCGGGGGCCTGGCTCTCTCCTTCTCACACGCCCTATCCTCACCCCCGCGTCTGATTTCCTTTAGGGTTTTCGCTTCTCGTCTCTCAACAGGCGCCCTCTTTAGAAGGACGCGGTTGGTTGCCCCTAGAGGGTTAACAGCGACGAAGCCCGCACACACCAGGCTCGGCACCCGACCGGACTCGCGTGCAGAAGAGTAGCGCAGAGCTGACTGGGAATTGTAGTCTGCATGTGCGCAGGGTGCGGGTGCCGCATGCGCTGCTGGGAGTTGCAGTCTGTGTGCGCCTAGGGTGCGAGTTCCGCAGGTGCTGCTGGGAGATGTAGTCTGCTTACGGGCAGGGTGCGAGTTCCTATGCTGGGAAGTGTAGTGCGTAGGCGGGGCTCAAAGTTCCAGCGCGCCCTCCCCGAGGGAGTGGGCGGCTACTGCTTTTCACTCTGGCCGGTGCTGTCAAATGAGGGATAGATAATCCCAGCAGAACTGAGCCCAGGCCAGCACCTAAATCAAGTCCGACTTTGCGGATAATGAGATGTGACTCAAGAGAAGTTTCTAGGGACGTGAAGGAAAGCAAGGCAACATCCCTGGTTTAACCGGGCTGTGGTCTCCAAAGAAGAAAGCGGGAGGTACTCCACCCTAGCTAGGAGGACACGCTTCCTTCTTCACCCTTTTGTTCTTTTCCCTCCTCGGCTCTTGGCCTCTGACTGGCCTTTGTACGCCGAAGTGGAACTACAAGTCCCGGCAGGCCACCGGGTAGGCGCAGGCGTGATAGAAGTGCTCGGCCACGCTGCAGGAGGCGGGCCAAGTATTAGGCATCTGATTGGTAGGGCATATTGCAAGCTTTGATCACTGGTTGGCTGAGGCAGCTGCCGGAAAGGACCCAGCCTCGAGTTGGAAGAGCGGAGGCGTTCTGTGGGCTGGGCTGAGGAGCCTCCTCCCTGAGACAGCATCGCCTAGACCCCCAACCAGGGAGTGACCACCCTGGGGCTGTCCTAGTCGGTTCTGGCATTGCTTCTATCCGGTGGTGGCGGAGACACAGAGGGCGGGTCATGCCCTGGGATCAGGGAGGAGAGTGACCGGCCCTGGTCCAGGGCCCTCCCCGCACGCCTCTTGGCCAGAACTAACTCCAGCCCTGGGGAGTGGGCAGGGCCTATTTGCAGTGCCTCACGCCCTGCTTTTCGCCTCCTTCAGCGCTGTCTGCTAGCTGCTTTTCCTGCTGTCTCTCCCGGGAGGCCAACCCTTGTGCCCGAGATGGCAGCCACCCTGCTCATGGCAGGGTCCCAGGTAAGCCGGGGGTGGTTTCTCGGACATTGAGTCTGCTTAGCCACCTCGTCCGGCATTTCTCCGTTCCGCAAGTCCCTGTGGGGAATTCCCTGGGGTTAGTAATTCGTTCGCTTCGTTATTCTATCTCCAGGGCCTACTACTGGGCTAATACAGCCGCAAACAAGCATATATTGAACACCTGCTGTATGCCTTTAGGTACTGGGGGGATTACAGATGGACAGGACGGGAGCTACCCCGCCTGCTCACAGTCTGTTGGGAGAAAGACGCATCCGGTTAACCGTGATACAACGTGATAAGTGCTGTGTTTGCCGTAGCAACAAAGTGCTGTGGTGTGGAAACAGAAGTGGGAGTGATTAATTCTATCTGGAGCATCCGAGGGCGGAGCGGCGCAGAACGGGGGTGGGGGGCGGCGGCACCGAAGAAAACCGTAATGAATGGCAGTATTTCACTAGTCTGAAGAAGATATTTCAAGAGAAAGAGGAACATTGTATGTAAATCTATGGAGTGATGAAATTGCTATCTGTGTTCTCAAAAAGGCATGGCTAGAGGATAAGGTCCCCCAAGTAGGGCAGGGGTATCCAGCTATGGAACCAGAGCAGTTCGGTTTTTGTTTTGTTACCACGTGTGTTTTCCTGGTTGTTTAATTCTTTTTTGGACTTTACAGAGGAGACTCAATGCCTTTTACCTCCTGGACATTTCCAACCATGTCTCTAGTTTCAGGAAGAAAAACTGTTACTAACCTCCTTGATAACAAGTAGTGAGGAAGCATTGTGTGATTTCAGGCACCTGTGACATTTGAAGATATGGCCATGTACCTCACCCGGGAAGAATGGAGACCTCTGGATCCTACACAAAGAGACCTTTACAGGGATGTTATGCAGGAGAATTATGGAAATGTTGTCTCACTAGGTAAGTAAGGATTCTACCTTTCTTCACACCAGCGTTTTTGAAACTATGTCAAAATGGCTTGGCTTTCCAACAGAGCCTAGTTGTTTGATCTTTTAAGTCACTTAATTGGATATTGGCTTGAGTTGAGTGTTCAGGCAATCTTTGAATATGGAAACATCCAGATCATATATTTGAAAAGAAAAAGAAGTGATTTTGCACATTTTAGAAACATTCAGATTTCTTGCGCCCTAAGTCATTTGCCATTCTCCAGCCTGTTTGTACAGAGCCCTGACCAAACAGGTCTGGCATAATGGTGCTTGCCAGGATATAAATGCCCCTGTAAATGGTGCTGTTACTCTAGGGCACTGGAAGATGAGGGATTCTAAGCTAGGTTCATGGGAGGGCAGAAGCACCAGTTTGTGTTTGTTTTGGCTTCAGAGCGCCAGCCTTGCCTCAGGTTCTTTGTCTGAGTAAGTTCTTGTCTAGAGATGTGTCAGGGTGAGTGTGTGAAATGTTCCAGATGTATCCCGAAATAGTGGGATCACAAATTCTATTAGCGGAGGCAGTTTCATTTTGTCTGTCCGTCTGTCTCTTTTCCTTGGCAGTGCTAGGGATGGAACCCAGGGCATCTCACATGCTAGGCAAGTGCTTCTACTACGGAGCTGTATCTCCAGCCCCCATTTTTTTTTTCATGTTCTGCAAATCTGTTTTCTCTTCCAGCTGTATTTTGGTCTGGGTGTAACTAGAATAAACAATTTATCCTAGAACTGAACAGTCTTTTGACTCACTTTGTCTCCTGTTAGGACTTGACAGCAAGTTAGCAAGTGTGTATGCTTCACTAGGTCATCTGCCGTTTGTTAGAATGAATCCACTTTTCAAAAATCTTGATCCCATGACTTTTCTCAGCACAAAAGACAACCTGAGGGTTTCTTCTTAATTTGGGCTTTCTCTCTGGTCCTGAGTTGTTCCGATCCCTTTTGTAGAAAAGCAACCATAAATAATGTTATCCTCTCATGTCTTTAACCCAAATATTTCACTCAATCCAACAAAAACAAGAAATGAAAATCTTAAAAAGTTTAAATTTGCATTCCTGTGGTCTGGCACAAGGAGTGCTTATTAGAAGGACAGAAGCACCAAAAGAAAAAGCTGGTTTCTTCTCCAAATAACCTTGGGAGAGGGTTAAATAATGTTTACAAGACTTCTTTATCTCAGGACTCCTCAGAATCTTTAATGTGTTATTAGGCATTGTGGATTCCTAATGAGAGGATAGTGTATGCAACATTTACCAAACTAATTCATCCATGGGCCCTTTTCTCCCAGCATACTTACTAATCCCTTTATGAAAAATATACTAAGAAATCTACTTGGGCTGGGTGCAATGGCACATGCCTGTAATCCCAGCATCTTGGTAGACTGAGACAGGAAGATAACAAGTTCAAAGTTAACCTCAGTGACATAGCAAGGCCCTAAGAAACTCAGCAAGACCCAGTCTCTAAATAAAATATTTAAAAAGGGATTGGGGATGTAGCTCAGTGAAAAAGCACCCTTGGGTTCAATCCCTGGTACCAAAAGAAAGAAAGAAAGAAACACAGCTTGGAAAATTTAGTGTTTGGGTAGAAAATTCTTTCAGATAGTGGTTGTGTTTTTGATTTTCATTTGAGAACTGTACATCTATACGTGTAATATAATCAGTCAATGCCAAGAATGTTCTGATGCAGGACTGTGGGTGTAGCTCAGAGAGTCCCTGGGTTTGATTCCTAGCACCACACACACAAAAGAAGAATGTTCTCAAACATCTTTTTTGCCTTCTCCATGTTCTCACATCTATTTTCACTTAAAAAGGCCACTGGAAAATAGCAAGTGACATTTTAGCACTTTTTTTGTTAACTAAGATATGATACAGATAACTAAAAATTCATTTTTCTTCATACCAACCTAGCAGGTGCTTTTGAATAAATATTATATGATGGTAATGATAAAAACTTGACAAGTTAAAATACATACATACATAAAATACCCAGGATCTTGGCTTTTAGAAATTCTAATTTAGTCTTTTGTATGTTCCGTTAATAGTTGTTTTGATCTTCCAAAATACCAGAAATATGTAAAGTTTTTATAATGAACCATTAACTGCAGTAATATAAAACATTTGAACTTCCTAATTTTCTTTTTGCAGTACCAGGATTGAACCCAGGGCTTACATATGCTAGGCAAGCACTCCACCACTGAACTACACCCCCAGACCTTTTTCTTTTATTTTGAGACAGGGTCTTGCTAAATTGGTTCTGGCCTTGCTATATTGATGAAGCTGGCCTGGAACTTGTGATTCCTCCTGCCTTGGCCTCCGAAGTGTCTGGGATTGCACAACCCCTAACCAGAGCATGAACTTTTTATCTGACTTTCTGGCTCTACCATTTACTGCTGTGACTTTGGGCAAGTCACTTCCCTTGTCTCAGGGTCTTGGCTTTCTCATTCATTAAGATCATCCTAACACCTGCCTCTCAGGATGGCTGTGATCATAAGTGAAGTAATGCAAGTAAAGAACTTAGTGTAGAGCTGGGCAGGCGTTGGGGGCATGCTTGTAATATCAGCGGCTCAGGAGGCTGAAGCAGGAGGCTCACAGGTTCAAAGCCAGCTTCAACAACTTAGCAAGCGCCTAAACAACTCAGTGGGACCCTGTCTCTAAATAAAATACAAAAAAGGGCTGGAGATGTGGCTCAGTGGTTAAGTGCCCCTGAGTTCAATCCCCGGCATAAAAAAAAAATAGAAAGAACTTAAGCGTAGCAACTACCCACAGTGCAATCTCCGGTCTCATTATTTATGCTTTATTACAGATTTTGACATCAGGAGCGAGAACGAAGTGAATCCAAAGCAAGAGATTAGCGAAGATGTTGAATTTGGGACCACATCTGAAAGACCCGTTGGGAATGCTGAGGAAAATCCTGAAGGGGAAGAGGCCTTTGGAACCGGGGACAGGTCGGAAAGACAGTGGGGGGATTTGACAGCTGAAGAGTGGGTAAGCTATCCTCTCCAACAAGTCACCGACCTGCTCGTGCACAAAGAGGGCCACACGGGCATCCGCTATCACATATGTTCCCACTGTGGGAAGGCCTTCAGTCAGATCTCGGACCTTAACCGCCACCAGAAGACCCACTCGGGAGACAGACCCTATAAGTGCTACGAGTGTGGAAAGGGCTTCAGCCGGAGCTCCCACCTCATTCAGCACCAGCGCACGCACACGGGGGAGCGGCCATACGACTGCAGCGAGTGCGGCAAGAGCTTCGGGCGGAGCTCGCACCTCATCCAGCATCAGACCATCCACACCGGCGAGAAGCCGCACAAGTGCAGCGAGTGCGGGAAGAGCTTCTGCCGCCTGTCCCACCTCATCCAGCACCAGAGGACCCACAGCGGGGAGAAGCCCTACGAGTGCGAGGAGTGTGGCAAAAGCTTCAGCCGCAGCTCGCACCTGGCGCAGCACCAGCGGACGCACACGGGCGAGAAGCCCTACGAGTGTAACGAGTGCGGCCGGGGCTTCAGCGAGCGGTCGGATCTCATCAAACACTACCGCGTGCACACCGGGGAGAGGCCCTACAAGTGCGACGAGTGCGGCAAGAACTTCAGCCAGAACTCGGACCTGGTGCGGCACCGCAGGGCGCACACCGGCGAGAAGCCGTACCACTGCAACGAGTGCGGCGAGAACTTCAGCCGCATCTCGCACCTGGTGCAGCACCAGCGCACCCACACCGGGGAGAAGCCCTACGAGTGCAATGCCTGCGGGAAGAGCTTCAGCCGCAGCTCTCACCTCATCACACACCAGAAGATCCACACCGGGGAGAAGCCCTACGAGTGCAACGAGTGCTGGCGGAGCTTTGGCGAAAGGTCGGATCTCATCAAACACCAGAGAACGCACACGGGAGAGAAGCCCTACGAGTGCGTGCAGTGTGGCAAAGGGTTTACCCAGAGCTCCAACCTCATCACGCATCAGAGGGTCCACACCGGAGAGAAGCCTTATGAATGTACCGAGTGCGAGAAGAGTTTCAGCCGGAGTTCAGCCCTTATTAAACACAAGAGGGTGCATACTGACTAAGTCCTGTAATTATGACTGAGAAGCCATTCGTTTGAAGGTACAGTTGACATCTGTGAGCTCGCTTGAGGCCGAGCTGCTTTTACCCTGCTGACTTTCCTGGTTGTGGGCTCTAATTAGAGCATCCAAGAAGACCGTCACTATGAAATTCAGCCGCACAGCTCTGAAACTTTATCCCTCCTCCAAAAGAGAGACTTCCGTTCACTCAATTTTTATTCACTCAATGGATTACTTCATCAAATTCAGTCCTGCAAGTAGCTGAAACTCTGAAGACCAGGGGCAAATGCTGGTGAATGCTCAGGCCTGGGGTTGGAGTAAATCTTTAAAGGTTACTTCTACCATCCAGGGCCCAAAATCTCTGCTAGGGGAAATGTGGACTGTAATAGGGTGGTCAAGTTTGCTTTGAAAAAAGGCAACCAGACTTGGCCTGAATTGCCACCCGTGTTCACACACCAGAGTAGAGGGCACACACATCCTCCCCTCCAAAGGGCTTTCCCTTGAGTCGCTCTGCATCTTTCCTTCTTCCTGAGAGCGGGATTCTGCATGATGAAGGCAATGATCAAATCTTTTCTCCTTCTCATTGTTTCTAATTAACTTGTTTGAAGCTTGTGTCTTTGTAGATACAAGTGTGAAAGGAAAAATGAGACATGGGTTTGAGGACCAAGACCCATCATCAACGGTGGTGACTTTAGCAAGAGGTGCCCACTGTTGTAATTGCTATTAATCAGGTTTATGAATTTTCTTTGGGAATCATTGTATGGAATATTGTAGGGAAAATATCTTCAAGGAAAGATAGGACCACAAGTGATGGTGGAGTGAAAGGATTAAGTGGAACCGAACCCCTACGGGAAGGAAGCACAGAGTCCCTTCCTAAGGAATGTAGGTCATTTCTGTATTCTTCCCCTTCTAATCTTTAAGATCAATTCTCCCTAAACTGCTAACTCTAGGGTTTGATAGGGCCACATCCTAGTGTTTATCTTAGCTTGCTAAGGGCATGTCTCTGTACAGTGAAATGTGTACTCCTTTGGTTTTACTAGTAGTGGTAACTGAATTTTCAAAGAATTAGCATGTTCTTGGGTGGTGTGGATCATGTAACAGAACTACAGACATAACTCCAATGTGAGAAATGTCCTTTTTTTTTTTTAATTTGTATGGAAAAAAATTTAAATGCTAGTGCTCATGTGTGCACCGTCCTGTAAGGTTTGTCTTTGTATAGAACGCAGCACTTGTTTGTATGTTTCCATCAATTGGAGAGATAACGACTGGACAATAAGTTTATTGTCCTATTCTCAGACTGCATTAACTTCAATGGCAATGAAGACCTCTTTGGCCTAGTCAGAAGGAATTAGTAAACCTACATAGGAATGTGTTTTTATCCTCCCAACCTACAAATAGAAATGGTTAAAGCAAGAGTTGGCCCCATTTAAGCCCAGTAGAATCAGTTTTCCATCTCTTAGCCCAAGTAGGAATTAAGAAATAACCTAAATATTGATACTTCTGCAAGTCTGTGGGGGATGGGAAGGAACCAGCGCCCAGGAGGTGGGGCTGGAATAAGGAATGTGTTTTCCTTTGAGAAGGCCCCAGTGTGTTTCTACCATGCTTTCTTGTGAATGTTGTAACATTTGGAAAAAAAAAATATTTTTGCCATATCTCTTTAGGACTGGTATGCACTAAGCATGTACAAGGTCCTGGTTTCAATCCCCAGCCATTGGTCTCTCTGGGACAGAGACTGTACTAGTGAGTTACTGTGACCCACCACTGTGTGGGATCACATCAGTTGCAAATGACACACATCAAAAGTAAGAAAATGAAAAAAACCACTCCAAGGGGGTTTCTTCATATTTAAAACGAACGTGGGGCAGGGAGCATGTTATTTTGTTCTATACAAAATCTAGAAGACTGTGAGAATTCCTATTTTAGTTGTCGGGTGACTTGTATGTTCTTGGTAACTAAACTCAAGTATGTCTTCTCCTGTATCAATGTTGCTGATGGTTTTAATGATTTCAGCATTCTGGTGCTGCGTTGATCTACTACAAGTGTCACCCTGGGAGTGGGCATAGAAGTCAGCACCTCTGTGACCTAACTGTATCTCACACTCTTACTCTGCTCTTCTTACCTCACCCCGACCTGTTCCTGCTGCTGCCTTTGGCTTCTTAGAGGTGAAGGGCTCAAGAAAAGGCTTCTGGGTGCCCACCCATCTCCATACGTGTATGCTCCAGTGGGGAAGTTAAAAGGGCTAGGGCCACACGGCCCTGTCTCCTCTTTCTGCCCGTTGTTACCCATTTGCTGTGCTGAACTGGGTGCAGAAGTCCTGCATCAGACCCTCTTGGCTAATGGTTTTGCTTGGCTTCTGTTCTCAAGTCCCTGGCTGCTTCTGCACATGAACACCCTGTGCCTGTTTTCCGTGGATGTGGAGAGTGAATGAACAGTAAATCTGTAGAGCATTTTCCCTTATGGTATTGGTCACAGTTATCCTAGTGTCAATTGACATCTGTATTATTCTAACAATACTCTATAATTAAAACTACAATTTAAAAATCAAAACAGCTGAGAATTATTTTAGTAATTCACTCATGCATATAAAGGCTTTTCATCAGATTCATTAAAATTGGGCACGACCATCTTGATATTGATGCTTTTTTTGTACAGACACTGTACAGATGTTCTTGTGGGGATTTGGGAGTACAGTGTCTTGAGCCCTCTAGATATTGCCATATCTTGAGAAGATGCAAAAAAATCTGTGAAGGGTAACCTGTTTCCTGTGAAGGTTATGCTGGTGCAAAGCAACATGGAAGTACTTGGTATGGATGACTCATTAACTTAAGAAAAAGGAAAAACACATCCAAAAGGAAAAATGGGAGAAGGCCTTGTTGCTCTAAGGAGATTTTGGGGGGTATGCATTAAGAAGACGAAAGCAATCTACTGAGCTAGGACTGGGTTCCCAGAACTAAGTTCTGTCTCCCACACTAAGGTTCTCTCTTCACCATGCTGGAGCACAGTTTGCCTAAGGCAGTGATTATGTACTACTAGGGTGTGGTCACAACTTTAAAATTATGAGTAATTTTCTCTTAAGAAATCTTTCTTTTTCAGTGGAGGGCCATCCCAGGCAAGGTAGGGGGCAAAATACAAATATGAAAAAAAAAATTAACCCTACAGCCAAGAGTTGGAAAAAAAGAATTTTATAAAAATGTTTTTTAGAACATATTTGTCAATAGATGCAGTGGCAGGGAACTGTTGTCCTAACTACTTGGGAAGCTGAGGCTGGAGGATCACTTCAGCCCAGATGTTGGAGGCCTGGGCAACACTGCAAGACCCCATCTCATTAAATAAAGTGGGAGAGGGAGGGATGAAGCTTGGTGCTTGAGAGTGTGCTAAGCATGTACAAGGTCCTGGGTTCAATCCCAAGCACCAAAAACAAAGCAAAACCTGTTTCTCCTTTCTGTATGTTCACCTTTTTTTTATTGCTAGAAAGGAAAGTTAAAGGAATCATGTAAAGCCACAAGAATGGGAAGTTACATTCCATGTATGTACAATATGTCAAAATACACTCTACTGTCACATATATGTGAAAAAAGGGGGGACCGCAGTCATATCTCAGTGGTAGAGCACTTCCCTAGCATGTATGAGGCACTGGGTTTAATTTTCAGCACCATGTAAAAAAATAAATAAATGTATTATGTCCATCCATAAGTAAAAAAAAAAAATTAGAGAGAGAGAGGGAGGGAGGGAGGGAGAGAGAGAGAGAGAGAGAGAGAATTTTTATTTATTTTTTTAAGCTTTCGTCAGACACAACATCTTTGTATGTGGTGCTGAGGATCGAACCTGGGCCACACGCATGCGAGGCGAGTGCGCTACCGCTTAAGCCACATCCCCAGCCCAAAGTAAAAATTTTTTTAAAAAATTAAAAAGTTAAAGAAAAACAAACATCAGTCTCTCCCCGCCCCTGCCTCTGCCCCCAGAGTAACTCAAAAGCCTCCTCTCTGAATGTATTTGTTTGGTCACTGTTGTTATTATCAAGGCACTTTTCCTTCTCTGTCAAATGTCCTCTAGGTGGCTAGAGGTAAGTTAGAGCTGTGTTTGCAAGTCATTAGGGCACCTCAAGTGCACTAAGATGATTATTTGCTAAATGGCTTCATAGTGTTTGAGAAGTTAGTGTAGTCCACATAGGAGTTCCCATGCCCTGGGGGAAGAGCTAACACCCACCTCTGTGGTAGCCTTGTTTATCTGTAGCAGACTTAAAGATAAGAAAGACTGTTAAAGATCATTAGCAAGACATAGCCAAGGAGTAAATTTTCTTTTCTTTTTTAGTAGTAATTGAACCCAGAGCAATCCCCCCCCACTCCGCCTTTTTTTTTTTTTAAACAGGGTCTCACTGAATCGCTTAGGACCTCACTAAATTACTGAGGCTGGCTTTGAACTTGCGATTCTCCTGCCTCAGACTCCAGGAGATTACAGGTATATGCCACAGCACCCAGCTCACTTTGCGTCTCACAGCTGCCTCCTGAACAACTCCAGATGGGAATTATCTGGGCACCTTGAAATCAAACCCCAAACTCAACTTCCTGCTTCTCCTGTATTTCTTAACTCAGTAATTGCCTAGTTATTCGAGCTAGACCCTTGCATATCACCCGTAACTCCTGCCTTTAGCCGCTCTCCCCAAATCAGTAATGAATATCAATTGCATCATTATCCATTCAGTCCTGTCCATACAAATCTGTCTACTCCTCCTCTCTACTGCCACCACTTGCCTTGTGACTTTGGGCAGTTACTTAGCTTTTCTGTTCCTTGAATTCCCCATCCATAAATAGGAAATTATTATATCTACCTCATTGAGTTGCAAAGATTAAATGAGATAATGGGACTCAGAATATTAGCAATTACTCAGACTGTCACTGGGGCCACATCTCATTTACTGAAAGAACCTCTTAATGAGTCCCCTCTAGTTTGATCCCTGTCTCTTCTCTAGTTGCAGCTCTAATGATCTTTCTGAAGGCAAATTCCTTTATGCCACTCTTCTGTGTAAAACTCTCTCAAGACCCTAAATTACATCTTTAGCACTGAGGGTGGGGTGAGGAGATTAAAAAAAATGGTCAAGGTCAGGTGTGGTGGTACAGATCCGGAGGCTGAACAAGAGGATCATAAATTCGAGGTCAGCCTCAGCAATTTAGCAATTCTGTCTCAAAAGGACTGGGAATGTAGCTCAGTGGTAAAGTGACCCTGGTTCAATCCCAGCACCAAAAGAAGGGGCAGGGGAGCTGGTGTAACAGGAAGTCCCGGTCTTAATCTCCGGCACTGCAAAAAGAATAAACAAAAATTTAAAAATAAAATCACCTTGTGCTTGCCTTTGCACACAGCAAACAGTGAGGCTCCTTTGGTGTGATTTATGAGAAGGTTGTCCAAGATCTGATTTCCCCACCTCGAGTTCTCCCCCACTTTCCTGCCTCAAAGCACACCAGCTGCATCTGTCTGTCCACTCTCCTTCTGGCCATCTCCTACTCATTCATTGGGTCTCCAACCTGGCTTGTTCCAGCAGATCTTTACTGATCCCACAAGATGGGATCAGGTGTTCCTTTTCTGTTTTTTCTCGGGTTTATCCCAATGTACTTTATCCCTGTTTTATAATTGCCTCTTTACTTTTTTGTCTTCACTAAAGTTTAATACCCTTCATGAAGTTACTGTATCTTGATCACCACTGTTTCTTCAACCTCTAGCCAATGTTTGACCTGGAGCAGGTAAGCAACAAGTATTTCTGGGGTTGTGGCTCAGCAGTGGAGCGCTCGCCTAACATGTGTGAAGCCCTGGGTTCGATGCTCAGCACCACATAAAATAAGTAAAATAAGTGTCCAACTACAATTAAAAAAATAAATTAAAAAAAAATAAAATGTACACCTTCATTTTCTTTCTTCCTTTCTCTCCCTTCCCCCCTCCCCTCCCTCCCTCCCTTTTAACAGGGCTGGTGATTATTTCTGATTTATCACCAACCCAAGCTACTCATGAAACAAAAGATTCTGTCATTGGTGCATCTGGTGGGACCTTATGCAAGAAGAGGAGACCACGTGACCCATCAAGACCTTCCCTTAAAGCTTAGATAAGAACAGACACACACACCTGACTGCTCCAGTATTTAATGAAGAATCATTGACATTGACCTTCCAAAGCCTAACTAGGGATAACCTTTTTCTATAACTTTGAACCATGCTGCATGGCAGGTTCCCAGTTCTATGAGCTTGGGCAGGATTCTAAGCTCCAGGTGCTCAGTTTGACATTTGGTTAATCTGAATTCTCCAAATCTAGTACATAAATAGGTGGTTAATAATATTTGGGGGGGGCTGGGGATGTGGCTCAAGCGGCATGCGTGCGGCCCGGGTTCGATCCTCAGCACCACATACAAACAAAGATGTTGTGTCCGCCGAGAACTAAAAAATAAATATTAAAAAAAAATTCTCTCTCTCTCTCCCTCCCTCTCTCACTCTATCTTTAATAATAATAATAATAATAATATTTGGGGGAGGACCCAAATTCCTTTATGAATCTAATGGAAGTTTTGGATCATTTGTTATTTTCATCGAGTTTTGAGGGTCTTAATATATTTTAGACACAAATCCTCTTAAAAAATGCTTTTATTGGGCTGGGACTGTAGCTCAGTGGTACAAGCCTCACTGTAGCTACGCTTGCCTCACAGGTATGAGGCCCTGAGTTTGATCCTCAGCACCACATAAAAATAAATAAGTAAAAATAAAGATATTGTTTCCATCTACAACTAAAAATTTTTTTGAATGTTTTATTGGCACATTATAATTATACATAGTGGGATTCACTGTGACATATTTGCACATGCACTCAATTTAATTTGCTTTATTTCATTTCCCAGTATGTCTTCCTTCCCCAATATCTCCTTCATTTACTGATTGTCCTTCTGTTTATTTTTTAAATTGGTTCATTATATTGTACATAAAAGTGGGATTCATTGTGATATATTCATACATGCACATAACATAATTTGGTTGATGTCATTCCCTGTACTTCCCTTTTCCTTCCCCTCCATCTCCCCCTTGATCTGATCCCCTGCCTCTGCTGTTCCCCCTTCTATTTTCATGGGATTTTTTAAAAAAATTTTTAGTTGTTGATGGATACAATATCTTTATTTTTATTTGTTTATTTTTATGTGGTGCTGGGGATCAAACCCAGGGTCTCATGCACGCAAGGCAAGCCCTCTCTACCACTGAGCCACAACCCCAGCCCCAGATAATCTTTTTTTATTGCTTTTTTCTCTATAGCTTCCACACATGAGAGGAAACACTTGAAATTTCTGAGTCTGGCTTTTTTTTTTTTTTTTTTTTTCACTTGGTATGATGTTCTTCAGTTCCATCCATTTACTAGCAAATGACATAATTTCATTCTTCTTTACAGCTGACTAGAACTCCATCATGTAGATATACCACATTTTCTTTCTTCATTCATCTGTTGATGTATACCTAGGCTGGTTCCATAACTCAACTATTGTGAATTGTGCAGCTGTAAACATTGATATGCATGTTTTGCTGCAGTATGCTGATTTTAGTTCTTTATTTTTATTTTTATTATTTTTTTTTTATTTCTCGGCGGACACAACATCTTTGTTTGTATG